CCCAAGCTGATTTGTTGAAATGGAATCCCCTTCTCAGCTTTGAACGAATCTCAGTCCTGATCTCTGGCTCCAGGTTAGCAGAGGCATGGGTGTATAGGCGTGAGTAGTGGGGGAGGGGGGCGCTCAGTGTAGCCTTCTGTGTTCCTTATGGGACATTTGGTTCCCACTGGCTGGGTGGGGTTCTGCTTCCATCTCTCTCTGGTCTTGCAGTACTTGTGGAATGTATCTACATGAGCAAAGCTCTGTTAAAGGCACTTTACATACACATAGAAACTCGGGTCATTTTCTTAACACAGTGCTCAGAGGTGCACTCAGGTCTGGTGGACGTTTGTATGACAGGTACAGAGCTATTGCCTTAGGGCTAAGTGAGAGTGAGGGCCTGGCCATCACATTGGGGTACAGTAAGATTGTGCGAAAGCCTGGGCCCGCAGGTCTTTGGGGTGGTTCTGATTCCATGTTGATGGGAGAAGGTGCAGCCCAGAGCCAGAGCAGGAACAGCCTGGCAGCTGGGCAGTGGTGCTGAGGGCAGCTGCATTCCCCAGGTAAAATTCATGAAAAGCAAGCCGGGGGCCGCCATGGTGGAGATGGCTGATGGCTACGCTGTGGACCGGGCTATAACTCACCTCAACAACAACTTCATGTTTGGGCAGAAGATGAACGTCTGGTGGGTGCTGTGCTGTGGGCAAGGGAGGGTTGGAGGCAGCTCTGGAGAGGGGCGGCGTGTGGGTATGGCTAGAGATACCCAGGCTGGAATAGTGGGATGGTTCTCTTGTCCTCCAAGCCTTGGGGACAACCTGGGATCTGATCAAGGTGCCCCTTACTTTCCACAGTGTCTCCAAGCAGCCAGCCATTATGCCCGGCCAGTCCTATGGGCTAGAAGATGGGTCATCCAGTTACAAAGACTTTAGTGAGTCAAGAAACAATCGCTTCTCCACCCCAGAGCAGGCAGCCAAGAACCGAATCCAGCACCCTAGCAACGTGCTACACTTCTTCAACGCCCCCCTGGAGGTGACCGAGGAGAACTTCTTTGAGGTGGGTATGCCAGTGGGTCTCATTGTGTTTAGTAACTAAGGTACATCTTGGACCCCCTTCCCAGTTGGGTACTGGGGGACAGAGACCAGGGATACCAGGGTCTTTACACTGGAGTCAGGTTGAGAGCCACAGTGAAGTTGAACATCAGTACAGGGTTGGGTTCTTGGCTATAGAAGCTTAGGAACCAGTGCAGTCTGGGAAGTAGGCAGTTGGGAGGGACAGGCAGGGGTGTGCTTTCCTGGCTCCCCCCTCTGATTTGCCCTGAAGTTGAGCACACACTTCCTATCACATATATGTGGGGTTGCTAAGGATGGAAGGTTGGTGTGGATCATATGATCCCTGTTCTTTTTTTTTTTTTTTTTTAGGAGGGGGGGGGTGTCTGGTTGTGGGGCCTGAACTCTGGGTCTGGGCGCTGTCCCTCAGCTCTTCAGCTCAAGGCTAGCACTCTACCACTTGAGCCACAGCACCACTTCCGGCTTTTTTCTTTTTTGCTTATGTGGTGCTGAGGAATCGAACCCAGAGTCTCATGCATGCAAGGCAAGCGCTCTACCACTGAGCCACCTTCCCAGCCCAATCCCTGTTCTTAACCTGATGCCATGTGGAAACTTTCTAGCATGTGATTAAAGCCAGCATTTGACCATGCAGGCCAGGCCTGCCTGATTTCTCCTTGTGCAGTGGTGCTTGTTTCTGAATTCCTTCATCTATTTCTGCTGCAGATATGCGATGAGCTGGGAGTGAAGCGGCCAACTTCTGTGAAAGTATTCTCAGGCAAAAGTGAGTCACTGCCCTGTTCTCCTGTTCTTAGTGACCAGAGGCAGCCGCCTGGTCCCTGCTGTTCAGCCTCACACCTTGTGTATCCTTCCTATCTACTCAGGTGAGCGCAGCTCTTCTGGGCTGCTCGAGTGGGAATCCAAGAGTGATGCCCTGGAGACTCTGGGCTTCCTGAACCATTACCAGATGAAAAACCCGAGTGAGTATCTGTGTGTCCTGCAGTCACCCCCCTGGTGGCCAGCCTGGTTGGCTGGCTTCAGTCCAAGGCCGTCTTTGCCCTCAGGATAGGACCCGAGAGATTTCCTTTCTGTCGCAGGAGCAGGCAGGCAAGCTGGTCGCCAGGAGAGCTGTCTGATGATGTTTCTCCTGGGAGGCCAGCCTGGCTGCCTGCTCTCGGTTTGGGACTTGTTTAGGTGTCCCCTTCTGGGAGCTGCCACTCTGTCAGCCTTGGCCCCAGGAGTGTCTAGGAGCGGGCTCCTCCATGGAAGGGAAGAGGCGCAGGGCTGTCCTGGCAAGAGCAGGTGCAGAATGGGGGTCCAGGCTGGAGCCTCCAGAAGGGCTGACCACACCTCTGCCCTCTTGTCCACAGATGGCCCATACCCGTACACCCTGAAGTTGTGCTTCTCCACCGCTCAGCACGCCTCCTAATTAGATGCCCACGAAGAACCACCTGAGCAAGAAAGCCTTTCTTTTCCCTTTATGCCCTTGGGTTTTTGTTTGGTTTTGTTTCGTTTTTGCAAAAGTTCCTGTATTCCTTTTTTAAATGCTAGGTTAGTAGAAGCTTAACCATAATGGAATTGCTGGAAGTCTGGAGGGGGAGGGAGAGGGGAACTGATGTCTCCCAAGATTAACCTTCACTTTTTAAAAATTATTGTCCATGTGATTTTTTTTTTTTCTGTTCATTTGTGCTGCCCATGTACTCTTGGCACATTTCAATAAAATTGTTTGGAAAATAAATGGAGGATTTACTGGAATTTCTGGTTGTAACTGCTTTCTGTCAATCCCTGCAGTATGCAGGCAGGCCAGCACACAGGCGCAGCCCTGCAAGCAGGGACCATAGCACATGGGAGCCATGCTAGGAATGTAGGAGGCCTTTTAGGAAAATCCCACAGGACTGGAGGTGTTCTTAGAGGGCTCTGCAGGCAAGCTGACTTGTCTAGAGTCACTTCAAGTGGTAATTAAGAGCTGGGCCATGTATGTAGAAGAAAAACCTGTAGCCCAGGATGTTCAGGCATTATCCAAAAAAAGTTCAGGGAATTTTCAAGAGACACCATAAAATGAGTCCTAAAAACCATTTCTGGGGCTGGGAAGGTGGCTCAGTGGTAGAGCACTTGTCTCATATGCATGAGGCCCTGGGTTCGATTCCTCAGCACCATAAGCAGAAAAAGCTGGAAGTGGCGCTGCGGCTCAAGTGGTAGAGCACTAGCCTTGAGCTGAAGAGCTGAGGGACAGTGCTCAGGCCCAGAGTTCAGGCACCATGACTGGCAAAAAAAAAACAAAACCCTACATTTCATTTAAAGTTGGAAGATTCCAGGAAAAATTTCCTGTACCATGTTTTTCCTTCTCCCATTCACTAACTGCTGCCCTATTGCTGCTTCCTCCCCACCCTATCATTAGCTGAGTGTCATGATTTACTTAACTCAAGACTGAAGGCCATTTCCAGCTCTTCTACGGCAAACATTGCAATGCACACACTCCTTAATGCAAATATCTAAGCCACTTTGACATCCCATCTACCAGATGAAGTTTCCTTCTGGGCTCTTATTTAGTCCTTCCACATCTGGATACATAAGACATCCTGCTAGAAGGGTCCCACTAAACATTACTTGGCTCCCCAATTTTTCCCTGGCTGCTGGCTTAACCCTACAGTTTTCTGTGGCATGGATAATTTCTTACGAGTGGCTGGTTCTGTCTTCAAAAGAGCCATTCATTCATTAAAGCAAGCTGTGTTCCCCTTGTTGAAGCTTTCACCCAGTGATTTATGCCTGTAGACCTAGCTACTCAGATGGCTTGAGATCTGAGGATTGTTCAAAGCCAGCCCAGGCAGGAAAATCCATGAGATTTACCTCCAATAAAACCACCAGAAAACAGAAAATGGTGCTATAGCTCAAGTGATAGCATGCTTACCTTGAGCTGAAGAGCCCAGGGATAGCACCCAGACCCAGAGTTGAAGGCCCATGACAGAAAAAAAAAAAAAAAAGGTTTCTTCTGCTCTTGGGTAATACTTTCTTCCAAAAGCATTCACTTCCTGAACTTAGTATTCAAAAAAGCAGAGAGTGGTCCCATAGCAGAGTTCCTAATTTATTTTTTATTTATTTTTGGGTCGTGGGGCCTGGACTTGGCCTGGGTGCTGTCCCTCAGCACCGTCAGCTCAAGGCTAGTGCTCTACCTGGACTTGGCCTGGGTGCTGTCCCTCAGCACCGTCAGCTCAAGGCTAGTGCTCTACCACTTGAGCTAGAGCTACACTTCAGGTTTTTTCTGCTTATATGGTGCTGAGGAATCGAACCCAGGGCCTCATGCATGCAAGACAAGCACTCTACCACTGAGCCATCTTCCCAGCCCCTTGGGCCGTACTCTTAAGCGACACACACACACACACACACACACACACACACACACACACACACACACACACACACACACACACACACACACACACACACACACACACACACACACACACACACACACACACAACGCCTCCTGCAACCAGCAGCCTTGAACTAGGCACTGGAATGCTGTGGGGAGTTGGCACAGTCCTGAGGCTGGCGACCAGCACCTCCTCGCAGCACAGCTCGTCCCTGCTCTTCTTAGTTGAACTTGCGCGAGGATAAACTCACTTAGCAGCAACTGCGCTGTGACCTTCACGTCCTTGCTCAGTCCAGCTGTGAGCACTTTGCCCGCTGTCACGAAACAGCGCAGCGCTGAACTTTATGCGGAATTGGCCCCCTGGCGGTGAGATACGGGCCCAGGCCAGGTGCCCAGTGGGGCAAAGGGTTCCTTCCTGAGCTGCCTTCCGAGCACGCCAGAGAACTCCCAACGCCACTTCCGGTTGCCCTTAGTTAAGATGGCGGGCGCAGAGGCGTCACTGAGGGTTGGGCTGCGGCTTCTAGGCCCTTGCCCAACATGGCGGATTTCGTCCCGCCCCTCGGCTTCCGCCCCTCAGGTTAGTGTGTTGACAGTCCTGATGACCGCAGCGATGGCGGTTTCTCGCGCACTCCGCGACCTGTGGCTGAGGCGTAAGTCACCCCCTGTCCTCTGGGGGGTCCACCGAGGAGAGGCCTATGCGGAGGCAGCAAAAGGGTCCGTGCGCTGCCTAACGCAGGGGTCTGCAGAGGCTCCCAACCCGAGAGAACTCCCCAACTCCATGAGACTGTGTCTTTGCAATCTGGGGTCCCCGACAGCTCGTCGCCCCCGGGCCTGGCTCAGCCCACCGTCCACGGTCTCAAGTATTCTCAGACTCAGCCCACTGCCAAGTGCACCCCAGTCCTCAAACCCCAGTCCCCCTCGACCCTGGGCTCTGAGGACTTCGTGTTCTCCAGGCCAGGCTCCCCGAGACACGTGCATCCCCATCCTGGCGTCTCCAGGGCTCTTCTTCCCCTCTGTCCGCAGGACTGGCAGCGCCCACCCAGCTGGGCTTCCACCTCAGCCCTCGCCCCCTGAGCTCCTCCGCACACCAGGCCTCCAAGGCAGCCCCCTCGGAAGCCTCGGACCACAGCTATGAGTCCCTGCAGGTGACCTCGGCTGGGACACACGTCCTCCACGTGCAGCTGAACAGGCCTGACAAGAGGAATGCCATGAACAAGGCCTTCTGGAGGTGTGGGCTGCACATCCTGGAGGCCTTCCTGCAGGTGGAGGCGGGGCTGGGGTACTAGGCCTGGCTGGCCTTGGAGGACAGACAGATGGACTTGAGGGTGGGGCAGTCCCACTGCTGTGCTTACTGGCTCTTCCCTCCTTGCTCCTCCACAGGGAGATGGTGGAATGCTTCAACAAGATAGCCAGGGACTCCAACTGCAGGGCTGTGGTGGTCTCGGGTGCAGGAAAAATGTTCACTTCAGGTACCTTCTCCTCCCCAGGCGCTCCTGGTCCTGGTGGTATGGCAGTGCTTCTAATTGAGGATTTTAGGCAGCTCTAACTTGTGATTTGAACCTCTTGTTCAAGCATCCAAATCAAAGGCTTGCTGGGTAAAACTCAGTGCTTAGTGGAAAATACTTGCCTAATAGCTGTGGCCCGCGGTTCCATCCCCAGCACTCCAGGAAAAAGGAAAAGGCATGAAGGCTGAGGGCTCAGGCAGACCCCATCTCTGTACCTGTCCTTGTCCCCCTACCTTGTGGGGCCCTGATGTGAAGAGAATGGAGAGAAGCTGAACACCTGCTCAGCAGGATGCTGTGGGGTGAATGGAAGGAGGTGATACTTGTGTGACGTCAGTATTCAGCACCCACCTTAATCTAGACAAACGGTTTGTTTTGTGGCTGTGAGACAATAGCAACGATCTGATTAAGGATGAAATTTAGAGGTTCCCAGGAGAACAAGCTGGGGCCGGTTTTCTGCACCGATCTCATCTGACTGTGGGGCCTGCGCACTGGGGCTCTGCGTTTCAGGGAGTTGCAATTGTGGGTGTTCAAGGAGAACCAGAAAAGCCAGCCAGGGTAGGCTTAGGAAGTTGCCCATGAGGCTGGTCCTGGGAACCAGGCCAATGAGTCACCAGGGTTTCTTAGACTTGTTGTGGGTGCCAAGAGCTGCCAGCATGCTGGGGCAGGCTACCCCGGTCGTGCTGAACAGAGGACTTGCTAATGGATGCTCTGTGAAGTCATTGCATGCCTGGACCCTGTCTCGTGCTGCCCAGATGCAACTCCTCCATCCTGCAGCCCAGTTGCTCCCTGGAGTGTTTCAATAGCCTGGTGTAGAGAAGCTACCCCTGGTCCAGATTCAGGCCCAGTCAAGGTGGCGCAGGGAGTCTGGCATACCCACCTGTCACTTGCACAAACCAGCTGTCTTCTGAACCTGCCTCCACAGACAGCGAAGCCTGTGGATCAGGACTGGCTCAGAGTGGGAGAGACTTCTTAAGCTGGCAGTGACATGTTAGGGGTCAAGGAAAGGATGAAGAGGAGAGAAGAGATACACATGATCTCCTTCCATCCCCTCCCTGACCTGACTTTCATGTCTGCCTTATAGGTCCAGCCCTGTAGGCCTTTCTGTGAGGCTGCTTACCCAGGCCAGGAGCATTCCAACCACAGGGCCTTTGCACTGGCTGTTTCTGGCATTTTCCATTCTCAATCCTGATGAGTCCATGCTCCCTTCATGTCCTTCAGGTCTCTCACTGAGGACATTAGACAGGGCAACAGCCTCCCCGCTGACTCTCACACACAGGCACGATATTATGCTTTTCTTGTTGTTGAAATGGGGACTCAGAGAGATGTAACCTAGGGTAGCCTCTAACTCTGGATCCTCCTCCTGCCTCCGCCTCCCTCTAGGGCTGGGATTACAGGCCTATGTCACATTGCTCTAGTCAAAATGTGTGTGTGTGTGTGTGTGTGTGTGTATGTGTGTGTGTGTGTGTGTGTATTGGTCCTGGCTTAAACAGAGACCTCTACTATGGCTCAGCTTTCTAGTGTAGAGCAGTGTGGAGCCAGGACCTCCAGGACCTGGCTGGAACTCAAGGTCTTGCCCACACTGGGCAGCTTCTCCACCACTGAGCCACACTCCAGTCAAACAGAGCAGTCCAGGCCTTGAATCTGAGCACTCAGGAGCCAGAGGTAGAGGGTCAAGAGTTCTAGGCCTGAACCCTAGTGAACCCTGTCTCGAAAGATAAAAACATAACTGAGCCAGGTGCTGGTGGCTCATGCCGCCTTTAATCCTAGCTACTCAGGAGGCTGAGATCTGAAGATCATGGTTCAAAGCCAGCCTGGGCAGGAAAGTCCGTGAGACTCATCTTCAATTAACCACCAGAAAAATGGAAGTGACGCTGTGGCCCAAGTGGTAGAGCGCTTGCCTTGAGCTGAAGAGCTGAGGGACAGCGTTCAGGCCCTGAGTTCAAGCCCCACAACTGACAATAAAACAAAACCACATAATTAAGCAAGAAAGAAAAACAGAAGAAAAGTCAGATTCATGATTATCGTGATTATCTGGAAGTTAGAGGCACAGCATTTGCTCCATATCCAGAATGCCCATCTCAGGAAACAACTTTGCAGACTCAGTGTCTCTGCCCTCACCTGCTTCCTAGACCACCTGTGTGACCTCAGGCCAGTGTATAACCTCTCCATGCCTCAGTTTCCCTGCGGGTGAACTGAAACCACTTGTAGGACCTGCCAAGATTCTGTGAAGACAGAGCAAAGGCTCAGTAGGAGCAGTCCTCTTTATCTCTCCATGCCATGTCTCCCTAATCTCTAAGCAAGTTGTTTTCTGCTGTGGCTGGTACAATCATTTTGCTTGGATCTGAGTCCTGGCGGGGTGTGGGGGTGCTGGGAGGCTATGTGAGCACCTCCTCTTCCCTAACCCCCCCTCACTCCTGGCCAGGAATCGACCTCATGGATATGGCTTCAGAACTGCTGCAGCCCGAGGGAGACGACGTGGCCCGCATCAGCTGGTACCTCCGTGACCTCATCACCCAGTACCAGAAGACCTTCAGCGTCATTGAGAAGGTGACTCTGGGCACAGCAGGGCAGCAGCTCCTCTGCCCACTGCCCTCAGCCCTGACCCCAGCCCTGCCTTCCCTTCCAGTGCCCCAAACCTGTGATCGCTGCCATCCACGGCGGGTGCATTGGTGGAGGTGAGTGTGTCTCCCCCACTCCCCTGGGCAGGGGTAGGGCTGAGGCCTCCCCTCCCTCAGCCAGGGCCTCCACTCTCAGCTCTCTGCTGCTGAGCCTGGGGCCCTGCATGCGGCCATGACTGGGGAGCAGGGCCAGGCTCTTTCCCTCTGCATTGTCCCTGGCCTCTTCCTTCCAGGTGTGGACCTCGTCACTGCCTGTGACATCCGCTACTGTGCCCAGGATGCTTTCTTCCAGGTCAAGGTGAGTCTCCCTGAGCTCCTGCCTTCCGGGACCCCCACAGTGCTGACTAGAGAGTGGCACACCTGTCAGAGCAGGGACCATGTGTGTGGAGGGAGCAAGCCCTGAGGGCTTCACAGCAGAGGAGTCAGAGTGACCCTTCCAAAGTGAGGCTCAGGAGACAGGCAGGGTAGCACACAGCTGTCATCCTGGCACTTGGGAGGTGGAGGCAGAAAGACTGGAGTTCTAGGTTAATCTGGACCACATGGCAGGACCTTGCCTCTCCAAACCAAGAGCTGGGGATTTGGTTTAGTGGTAGAGCACTTGGCTAGCATGTGCAGGACCCTGAAGTCTGTCCTCAGCACCTTGGAGGGGGTGTGTGTGTGAGACTGCCATGGAGAAAATCTGGCAAGCGTTCAGGGAGGTGAGGAGTGACAGGGGGCAGGGGGCACAGGCCACACTGGAGGCCCAGAGAGACAGGAGGAAGCCAGGTGCAGGGTGGGACCAGGAAGGAGTGAAGGAGAGAGAGAAGAGGGGAGGGAGGGAGAGGGAAAGCAGTGTCTCCCGAAAAGTGGGGTCAACCTGAAGAGCTCACTGTAAAGAACCAGGAGGTCTCCTGGGAAAAGGAGGCTCCAGGAACAGGCTGGGGTCAACATTTTAGAGGAGTTGGAGGTATTTAGGGGGTGCAGAAATGGCGTGTTGGGGGGACGGACGGCTCTTCAGTTCTGGCCTTGAGCTTGTGTTGGGAGCAAATAATGACAATCCCACTGCTCACCAGGAGGTGGACATAGGCCTGGCCGCTGATGTGGGGACGCTGCAGCGGCTGCCCAAAGTCATTGGGAATCAGAGGTGAGAGGGGGGCGGAGGGGAGGACTGTGGGGTCCCCCCCCCCCGCCCCCGCCCCAGGCTACAGGATAGCCTGATGTGCCCTCCGTTTCCACAGCCTGGTCAACGAGCTGGCCTTCACCGCCCGCAAGATGATGGCAGACGAGGCGCTGAGCAGTGGCCTGGTCAGGTAATGGGGGCTGAGGACGGAAGAAGGCAAGGACCAAGGATGGAGCTGGGGGCGGGGGCTGAGGACAAGGAGGGCAGGGGCGGAGCATGGGGGTGTGCAGCCATGCCATGGCGGGGGGGGGGGAGGGGGGGGGCGAGTCCCTCTCTTCCCATCCGAGATCAAGGGCGTCTCCCTGCGAGTGTGGCAGGGGAGGGAGGGGAAAGTCCACGCCTGGTGGGATGGGGGTCCACACTGAGAGCCTCACCTGCCCTTCTGATTCCTCTCGAAGCCGCGTGTTCTCGGACAAGGAGGCCATGCTGGATGCAGCCTTCGCGCTGGCGGCTGAGGTGTCGAGCAAGAGCCCAGTGGCCGTTCAGAGCACCAAGGTCAACCTGCTCTACTCGCGGGATCACCCGGTGGACATGGCGCTGGACTACGTGGTGAGCTTCGGCTTCAGCCAATCGCTGTGCTCCTAGCCCCACGAGGCCTCCACCAATCACCTCACTTCCCACTCCTGGTGCTGCTCCACCAATCAATGCACTCCCTGTTCCTTACCCCGCCCCCGCCCAGCCCTCCTCCAATCACGGCGTCCCTGCCTGGCCAATTGGGGCTCAGGGGCGGGCTGGTGAATGCCTCACCCTCAGATTGGTGTTCACTAAGTGTCACCTTCCCCTTCTGCAGGCCTCCTGGAACATGAGCATGCTGCAGACCCAGGACATCGTGAAGTCGGTGCAGGCGGCCATGGAGAAGAAGGACCTGAAGAGCATCACCTTCTCCAAACTCTGAGCACCAAGCCCGTCTCCAGACCCAGTGCCTGCCTCCTCCTCTATAATGGGAGGATTCAGGACAGGCCTCTAGTGCCTTCTGAGCACTCTCAAGCCTTATCTTTATAACCCTCATTTCTACCCAGGCCCTTATCTTCACTAAGAACAATAAAGTTCTGGAGAGAACCTGGCTTCATTACTGGAGTGGGGGGGGGGGGAGTTGGAGGCCCAGGGGTCTCCCAGGAAGGCAGCTGTGAAATTGAGGATAGAGGTTCTTTTGCTCTTCTGAGACAAGGTCTCATTATATATAACATAAGGTAGCCTGGAACTCAAGATCCCCTTGCCTTAGCCTCCTGAGTGCTGAGATTACAGAGATGAACCACCATACACAGCCAATGATGAGATCTGACCAATTGAAGACTGTTTAGGAAGAGCAGGAAGTCTTAAGAGGTGGAGTCCTTGGCTGGCATCCTTCTGGGTGTGGAAGGCCATCCTTGCTCCCCCTATTCTTGGACTGACAGTGCCCAACCCACCTGGCACCTGTCCTATTTGTAGTCAGTCCAGTGCTGGAGTCTGCTGGGCATACCCAGGTAGAAAGTAGCAGAGGCAGCCAGGTGCCAGTGGCTCACGCCTGTCATCCTAGCTATTTAGGAGGCTGAGATCTGAGGATTGATGTTCAAAGCCAGTCCAGGCAGGAAAGTCTCCGTGAGACTCTTTTTTTTTTTTTTTTGCTGGTCATGAGGCCTGAACTCTGGGTCTGGGCGCTGTCCCTCAGCTCTTCAGCTCAAGGCTAGCGCTCTACCATTGGAGCCACAATGCCACTTCCGGCTTTTTCTGTTTATGTGGTGCTGAGGAATCGAACCCAGGGCCTCATGCTTACAAGGCATGCACTCTACCGCTGAGATACCTTCCCAGACCCTCCGTGAGACTCTTATCTCCAATGAACCACCAGAAAACTGGAAGTGGCGTTGTGGCTCAAGAGGTAGAGTGTTAGCCTGGAGCTGAAGTGCTGAGGGACAGTGCCCAGGCCCAGAGTTCAAGCCCCACGACTGGAAAAAAAAAAAAAAAAGAACCCAGATCTTTTCACTCCAGCCACCCATGTGCTCTAAACCCCTGTCCCTAGGTCATAATGTGAGAGCTGGAGGTGAATGTGGGTACTTTGCTGTGTCTCCAGCTCTTATTTCCTTCCATTACCCACCTGTGCAGTCACTCCTGCAGCCCCGCCCTGCCCACCTGCTGTCCCCTCCCTCTGCCAACAGACTTCGGGCAGGGCTTTATGGTCTCTGATAAGGCTCTGGCAAGGCCAAAGTCCATCATTGGCCCTCTTTGCATGAGGCCCCAATGTGGCAGTAAGGGCTAGGAAGTGAGGTGCACCCTCAGGATTCCAACCTAGGGACCTGGTGACCCCTTCCCTACCAGCCACTCCCTTCACTGTGCTATAAGGGTCAGCAGCCACAGTTCACTGCTTCCCATTCCTGCAACAACACTCCTCCTAGGAGCAGCCACCAGCCTAGCCTCTTGAGATGGCCTTTGTCCCGGCACCGGGCTACCAGCCCACCTACAACCCGGTAAGCCCCCCTCCCCACCAATTCACCCCACATTCACCCTTGGTGTGTGGGAGAAGTATCCCAAGACTTCCTCAGGCCTGATTCACCCTGAACTGAGGCTAAGGTTTGATTTCCACCCACAGTGGTATTCAGGCCATTTTGGGTCCCCATCTCATCCTCATGCTTCCTCTCCCTTGTTTAGGGGGACACTGGGGTGGGGTGGGAGGGGCTTCTCAAAGAGGGAGAGGGGTTGTAGCAGGCAAGCTGTCTCTGAGGTCCCTTGATATCCCTCTCTACAGACGCTGCCCTACAACCAGCCCATCCCAGGTGGGCTCAGCGCTGGCATGTCCGTGTATATCCAGGGAGTAGCAAAAGAGAACATGAAACGGTGAGACTCTCTCAGAGGACCGGGGCCAGCCAGGGCACCACAGGCCATTTGCATGATGCCACCTTTTTCCTTCCTGGTTACCAGGGCTGGTGGGATGGATGTGTAGAATGCACTGGAACTTGGCCATCCTCATGCTACCCTTAGGCTTTGTGTGATGGTGGCCTGCAAGGCCTAAGAGTCCAGGAAGGAAAAGATGGAAGAAGGGTTAATGGGGAAGGGGGGGAGGTACCAGGCAGCTTGGTAGTCAGATCAGCTGTGTGCAGGTGTATGCTTTGAGACTTCAGGGGCCTGGAGGGCTCACCCAAGAGATTACAGGTATAGTGATGCATGCTTGTAATTCCAGCACTCAGGAGGCTGATGCTGGAGGATTGAGAGTTTCAAGCCAGCCTATGCTACATAGTGAGACACTATCTCAAGAGAAAAGAGACAGAGCTAGAAAGACAGAGGATGTTGGACGTGAAATGAGATTTTTTTCCTGCTATTGTGGTTTTGTGCTGGTACTGGGGTTTGAACTCAAAGGCCTTATGCACTTGCATTGGTGCAATGCTGGTGCTCTACCACTTGAGCCACAGATTCACTTCCGGCTTTCTAAAAGAAATTTATTTGTGCTGATCCTTGAGCCTTGAACTCAGGACTTGGGTGCTGTCTCTGAGGTTTTCTGCTCAAAGATAGTGCTCTACCACTTGAGCTACATCTCCACTTCCAGCTTTTCAGTAGTTAATTGGATATAAGAGTCTCAGGGACTCTCCTACTCGGCTAGCTTTGAACTCCTGTCCTCAGATCTCAGCCTCCTGAGTAGCTAGGATTACAGTCATGAACCACCCACAACTAGCAGATATCCAGCTTTTTTTTTTTGCTGGTTAATTGGAGATACGCGTCTAATGGACATTCTTTAGATCTCAGCTTCCCTAGTAGCTGGGATTACAGGCATGAGTCACCAGCACCTAACTTGGAAGTGAGAGCTTTGAAAACATGAATCTAGATTGATGCAAGTGCTGTGTCCAAATCCCCAGCTCTGTCACCCAGATTCAGAGGACTACTGTTCTTCTCTGTGCTTCTGTTTTCCAACTGTAAATGAGACAATTGTTAGGATTCAATGTGCAAAAGAATACAAAACAGTACTGGGCCAGCACCTCCCCTCCACACAGGGCACGAAAGTCCAGGTCAGGAAACTATGGGGCAGGCTGAGGCAGGGGGAGGTGACCCCCCAGGAACCAGCCCTTTATGTCCATCAGATTCCAGGTGAACTTCATGGTGGGGCAGGACTCGGGGGCTGATATTGCCTTCCACTTCAACCCCCGCTTCGATGGCTGGGACAAGGTGGTGTTCAACACGAAGCAGGCTGGCCAATGGGGCAACGAGGAGAAGAAAAGGAGCATGCCCTTTAGCAAGGGCACCCACTTCGAGCTGGTGTTCATGGTGCTGGATGAACACTACAAGGTCTGTCCCTTGGGACTCCCCTCTTTCTTCCTCTGTGCCCTCTGTCTTTACTTCCAGCCTTCCCTCCCTCCCTCCCTCTTCCCTCCCTCCCTTCCTTTCTTTTCTTTATTTTTTGTCAGCCATGGGTTTGAACTCGGGATCTAGGCAATGTCCTGGAGGTCTTTTTCTTCCAGGCTAGCACTCTACCACGTTGAACCACAGCTCCACTTCCAGTTTTCTGGTCGTTCATTGGACAAGAGTCTCATACGGGGCTGGGAAGGTGGCTCAGTGGTAGAGTGTTTGCCTAGCATGCATGAGACCCTGGGTTCAATTCCTCAGCACCACATAAGCAGAAAATCCAGAAGTGGCGCTGTGGCTCAAGTGGTAGAGCGCTAGCCTTGAGATGAAGAGCTGAGGGACAGCGCCCAGGCCCAGAGTTCAGGCCCCACGACTGGACCAAAAAAAAAAAAAAAGAGAGAATCTCATAGACTGTCCTGCCCCCCCCCCTCCCCCAAGCAGGCTTTGAACCGTGATCCTTAGATCTCAGCTTTCTGGGTAGCTAGGATGACAGGTGTGAGCCACCAGTACCTGGCTTTTCTTTTCTTTTTGTGTGTGTGCTTGTGAATTGGTACTGGAACTTGAACTGAGGGCCTAGGCATTGTCTCTTGACTTTTTCAAGCAAGGCCAACGCTCTACCAACTTGTACCACACTCCACTTCTGGCTTTTTGCTGGTTCATTGGAAATAAGAATCTCAAGGACTTTCCTGCCTGGGGTTAGCTTCCAACCTGGATCCTCCATCTGTCTCCTGAGGTGTCTAATTCATGTGATGCATATAATCATGCCATCCCTGAGGGTACTGAGAAAATGTGGAATTTTGCTGTGTGCTATCAGAACTCTGGACACACAAGGGAAGCATGAAGAACTAGGGTCTCCCACATACTGAGATTTGGGGGCCCTCAAGATTCCTCCCCTTCATCTCTCCCACACACACCTCTCTCATGTTATCTAAAAGCAGATCTTAGCTGGGCACTGGTGGCTCATGCCTGTAATCCTAGCTACTCAGGAGGCTGAGATCTGAGAATCATGGTTCAAAGCCAGCCCAGGCAGGAAAGTCCATGAGACTCTTACCTCCAATAAACCACTAGAAAACTGGAAGTGGTGCGGTGGCTTGATAGAGGGCTGGCCTTGAACTAAAGAGCTTTGGGACAGTGCCCAGGCCCTGAGTTCAAGTCCCAGGACCAAAAAAAAAAAACAAAAACAAATCTCAGCCGGGCTCTGGTGGCTCAAGCCTGTAATCCTAGCTACTCAGGAGGCTGAGATCTGAGGATCATGGTTCAAAGCCAGCCCGGGCAGGAGAGACCGTGAGACTCCTATCTCCAATAAACCACCAGAAAACCAGAAGTGGCGCTGTAGCTCAAGTGGTAGAGCGCTCGCCTTGAGCTGAAGAGCTGAGGGACAGCGCCCAGGCCCAGAGTTCAAGCCCCACGACCGACAAAAAAAAAAAAAAAACAAATCTCACACAAACATCATTGCATCCATAAATATCTCCATTAATTAATTAATTGTTGTTTATTTTTCTCCACCACTCCTGGGGCTTGAACTCAGGACCTGTGCTGTCCCTTAACTTTTTGACTCAAGGCTAATGCTCTTACGACTTGAGCCATTTGTCCACTTTCAGCTTTTTGCTGGTTAATTGGAGATAAGAGTCTCACAGACTTTTCTGCCCAGGGCTGGCTTTGAATTGTGATCCTCAGATCTCAGCCTCCTGAATAGCTAGAATGACAGGCATGCACCACCACTGCCCAGTTTGCTTTGTTTTCTTTGTTTTAATGAGACAAGGTCTGGCTATATAGCCCAGGCTGACCTTGAACTTTCCATTCTCCTGCTTCACCTCCCCATTACCAAGATGGTAGTTTCAAGGTCACCATGCCTGACTTCAGAGTCACAAGTGCCCAAGTCTCATCACTATCACTGGAGGCCTGGTGGCACAGTCATGCTGGGGACACAAGGCTGAGCTTTACACTCTCATATGCCTGGCAGTTTCTCATCCTCCCCAGGCCCTTCCCTCAGCTCACAAATGCAGGGAGGGGAAGGCTCAAAGCTGGACACTGTGGATCACACCTGTCATCCTAGCTACTCAGGAGGCTGAGATCTGAGGATCACAGTTCAGAACCAGTCTGGGTGGGAAAGTGTGTGAGACTCTTATCTCTAATGAACCACCAGAAAACCAGAAGTGGAGCTGTGGCTCAAAGTGGTAGAGTGCTAGCCTTGGGCACAAATACTCAGAGATAGTGCTCAGGACCTGAGTTCAAGCCCCAGGACACAAAAACAAAACAAAAGAGCACGTCTCCCTTCCCTGGGATGTTGGCACTGACTCTCCACACTTTGCCTCTGCCCTGCAGGTAGTGGTCAATGGGACACCCTTCTACGAGTACAGGCACCGGCTGCCCCTGCAGATGGTCACCCACCTGCAGGTGGATGGGGATTTGGAGCTCCAGTCCATCAACTTCCTTGGAGGGCAGGTATGTGCTGTTCCCACCCTTCCTCAATCCATCCACCCTGTCATCCATTGCCCATGCCTACTCTGTGCCATTGTCTTTCTGGGGGCTTCCCAAGGAGCCCCATGGTGGCTAAAGGGGTTCACCTGGAAGACAGACATATCCTCAAATTAGTCATAGCCCCAGAAGTCAGGAGCAGGGTGGGGAGAGTTAGGGGTGAGTTGGGGAGAGGCAGATGGAGCCTGAGGCACAGGAGGTGTGCAATCTGAGTGAGAACTGAAGGTAAGTAGTAAAAAATTCCTGAACAGCAGGGTACTGGTGATATCATCCTAGCTACTCAGGAGGCTCAGATCTGAGGATTGTGATTTGAAGCCAGTCCTGACAAGAAAATCTGTGAGATTCTTATCTCCAGTGAACTCTTCAGAAAAGGCCAGAAGTGGTGCTGTGGTTCAAGTGATAGAACACGATCCTTGAGCAAAAAAAGCTCAGGGACACAGGGATCTGAGAGTGGCTCATGCCTATCATCCTAGCTACTCAGAAGGCTCAGATCTGAGGATGGTGGTTTGAAGCCAGCCCAGGCAGGAAAATCCATAAAACTCTCATCTCCAATAAACTACCCAGAAAAGCCTGAAAGTAGAGCTGTGGCTCAACTAGTAGAGCACTAACCTTGAGCACAAAGAGCTAAGGGATGGTGCCCAAGCCCTGAGTTCAAGTCCCAGTACACCCACACAGATACACACACACACACACACACACACACACACACACACACACGGAATTGTGAAGAGCATATTACGAAATGACCTTAGTCACTAGGGACACAATGTCACAGTGAATTGTCAGGACACGCCTTTAAGAGCCCTAGTGGAGAAGCCAATCCTCGGTATCAGAGGCTGGCAAGGTACACTGGGGACCCCACCCATCAGGTAGTGTAGATGGCAGAGTCATCTGACAGCTGAGCCACAGTGAACTCCAGTGGTCTTGAAACTGTACCCCAGGTACAGAGACAACAAAGAGCCTCCAACTTAGACACTCCAATATCACCATGTCCAGAAGCCTTGGGGGTGTGGTAGAGCAGCGGTATAGAGTGGTAGAGCAGGCAAAAGGCCTGGGATTCCACCCTCAGCATTGTACAAATGAACAGAGTGGCAAAGTTCAAAGTATATGCTTAAGCCTGGCGTTGGTGGCTCCTGCCACCAGCAGCAGTATGGAGCCAGCCTGAGCAGGAAAGTCTGTGGGACTCTTATCTCCAATAAACCACTAGAAAACCAGAAATGGTGCTGTGGCTCAAGCGGTAGAGCACTTGCCTTGAGCTGAAGAGCTGAGGGATAGTGCCCAAGCCCAGAGTTCAAGCCCCATGACAGAAGAAGAAGAAGAAGAAGAAGAGGAGGAGGAGGAGAAGGAGGAGGAGGAGGAGGAGGAGGAGGAGGAGGAGGAGGAGGAGGAGGAGGAGGAGGAAGAGAAGGAGGAGGAAGAAGCAGCAGCAGCAGCAGCAGCAGCAGCAGCTCAGGGATAGCACTCAGAGTTCAAGCCCCAGGACCAGCAAAAAAAAACCCAAAAAACTTTGCTTATTTGTCCACAGTTGAATAAGTACACACATGGATATCAGAACATGTAAGCTCAGGGGCTGGGAAGGTGGCTCAGTGGTAGAGCGCTTGCCTTGCATGCGTGAGGCCCTGGGTTCAATTCCTCAGCACCACATGAGCAAAAAGAAAAAAGCCGGAACTGGCGCTGTGGCTCAAGTGGTAGAGCACTAGTCTTGAGCTGAAGAGCTGAGGGACAGCGCCTAGGCTCAGAGTTCAGGCCCCACGACCGACCAAAAAAAAAAAAGAACGTGTAAGCTCAGAGGTCAATTTTCCTGCCTGGGCTGGCTTTACACCTTGATCCTCAGATCTCAGCTTACTGGGCTGGGAATCTGGCTTAGTGGTAGAGTGCTTGCCTAGTATGCATGAAGCCTCAGTACCATATAAACGGAAAAAGGCTGGAAATGGTGCTGTGGCTCAAGTGGTAGAGTGTTAGCCTTGAGCAAAAAGAAGCTCAGGGACAGTGTCCAGGCCCTGAGTTCATCTCCAGGGCTGGCAAAAAACAAAAACAAAAAAGATCTCAATTTACTGAGTGACTGGGACTACAGGAGTAGTCCCAACATGGGCTAGGTGCACTTCTGATGGGACAGAGGGGAAGAATGAGGGACCAGAAGATCAGAAAGAGGGAACAAAGAAAAGAACATACTAGGCTTTGTCCTAAAAGCTTGGGGCTCACAGGCACTGGTGATCCTTAAAGAAGTCAGGGTCGGGCTGGGATGTAGCTCAGTGGCAAAAGCGCTTGCCTAGCAAGTGCAATGTCCTGGGTTCGATCCCCAGTACCAAAAAAGAAAAGACAAAAAAAAAAAAAAAGAATCTGCCTTTTGGGGCTGGGAAGGTGGCTCAGTGGTAGAGCGCTTGTCTTGCATGCCTGAGGCCCTGGGTTCAATTCCTCAGCACCACATAAGCAAAAAGAAAAAAGCTGGAAGTGGGGCTGTGGCTCAAGTGGTAGAACGCTAGCCTTGAGCTGAAGAGCTGAGGGACAGTGCCCAGACCCAGAGTTCAGGCCCCACGACCGGACCAAAAAAAAAAAAAGTCAGGGTCCCTTCCAAGAATCAGGGTGGCATCTGGGGCAGAGCTTCCACCACACCTTCCGGTCCTGAATTTGGGGGCGTTTCACTCATGTCCATGTTCTCTCTCTGTGCCCACAGAGACCTGTGACCATACCAGCTTATCCAGTAAGTACTTGAGGATGAGGAATGTCCCTAAGTTGGGGGATCAGTGGTCCAAGGGGTCATGGAGGGCTTAGAGGACCTCCCCCTAGAACCCTTCACCACCCCTGCTTTTTTTCTGCCCATCTCTGTAGGGTTCTGGATTTGGTCCCGGATATGGTCCCCCACCAATGAGCAGTTTACCTGTAAGTGGCACAATTGGGTGGCCATTTTGGGGGGAGCTAGTCTAAAATTGGGGAGAATGGGGGAGCTGAGGCCAACGATTTGTGATCAATTATTGAATGATTCCTCTTTTCACCACTCCGCAGATCATGCAGGGACCCCCAACCTTCAACCCGGTATGGCATCCTGAAGGGGGTGGGGCGGTAGTAGTTTGGGGAGCTGGTAAGACTCTGCAGGGTGGTGGGAGTAGAGATGTGGGGGGCAGGCTGGGCAGGAGTGAGGGTGGAGACTGGTTGGATTTGTGTCCAGGGATCAATGGCTCCTTATTCTCTTCCATAGCCTGTGCCTTACACGGGGAGACTGCAGGGGGGACTTACGGCACGAAAAACCATCATCATCAAAGGCTACGTACCTCCTCATAGCAAGAGGTATGTCAGCACAGAACCTAGACAGAGGGAAATTTCTAGCCCTCCTCCCTCAGACCCAGGGATCCAGGTCCCAGCCTCCTCTAGGAGTCCAGGCTGAAGATCTCCTTCCTCAGACCCAGGGTTCAAACCAAGTCCACCTCCCTCAGAGCTAAACATCCAAACCAAGACCTCCTGCCTAGGACTCAGGAATCCAGACCCCAGGTCTCCTGCAGACTCAAACCCAGTCCTCCTCCCTCAGACCCAGGGGTCCAGACCCCAGGCCTTCTCCCTCAGACCCAGGGGTCCAGACCCCAGACCTTCTCCCTCAGACCCAGGGGTCCAGACCCCAGACCTTCTCCCTCAGACCCAGGGGTCCAGACCCCAGCAATCCTTCCCGGGCTGCAGGTGCTGGATTCCCACTGGACTCTCCCCTTGGTTTCAGCTTTGCCATCAACCTGAAGGTGAGCTCTTCTGGGGACCTGGCCCTGCACATTAACCCCCGCTTGGGCGAGAATGCTGTGGTCCGCAACAGCTTCCTCAATGGCTCCTGGGGCTCTGAGGAGAGGAAGCTTTCCTACAACCCCTTTGGTGCTGGCCAGTTCTTTGATGTGAGTCCGGAATCCCTGCCCTTCTTCCTGCTCTTGCAAGAGCCCTTGTCCAGTGGGCCCTCCCCTCCCCCACCTCTGTCCAGTGGGCCCTCCCCTCCCCCAGCCCTGTCCAGCAGGCTCACCCCTCCTCCACTCCCTCCCACAGCTGTCCATTCGCTGCGGCCTGGATCGCTTCAAGGTTTATGCCAATGGACAGCACCTCTTCGACTTCTCGCATAGGTTCACCTCCTTCCAGAGGGTGGACATGGTGGAAGTTCAAGGTGATGTCACCTTGTCTTATGTCCAGATCTAAATCATTCCTGGGCACAACTCCTGGGAAAACAGAAAGATCCCCAGGACATGTTTCTGGGCCCTAATAAAATGTCTGAGGGCATCTCTGTGTGTGTGTGTGTGTGTGTGTGTGTGTGTGTGTGTCCATTCTCCTCCCTCAATATTCCTTCCTTCCTCAGGGGTCATTCATATTCCATCATTCTTCCAGCCAGCTATCTGTCCATCACAGTAAATCTACTTACAATCCTGTATTACTGGTCCATGCCTGTAATCCCTGCACCAGCCAGACTGAGGAAGAAGGATTAAAAATTTAGGATTTGGCTGGGGGTGCCTGTGGCCCACACCTGTAATCCTAGCCATTTAGGAGGCTGAAATCTAAGAATGAAATTGGGTTTAAAGCCAGTCCAGGCAAAAAAGTTCTAGAGATTCTCATCTCCACTTAACCACCAAAAAGCCAGAAGTGGAGCTGTGGTCCAAGTGGTAGAGTATTAGCCTTGAGTGAAAAACCCAAATGGAAAGACAAGGTCTTTAGTTCAAGTCCCAGGAACAGCACACACACAAAAAGTTCAAGACCAACCTAGACTTGAACCCAGTCCTCTTCCTACATAATGAATTGCAGGCCATCTCAGGGAAAAAGCAAGACCCTATCCCTACCCTCTCTGCCCCCGCAAAACAAAGCCAGACACTGATGGCTCACACCTGTAATTCTCACTACTTAGGAGGCTGAGATCTGAGAATTGAGGTTCAATGCCAGACCAAGCAGACAATCTCATCTCTAGTTATAAATATAATTTTTAACTTTTATTTTGGGGGGCTGGGAATGTGGCTTCATGATAGAGTGCTTGCCTAGTATGCATGAAGCCCTGGGTTCAATTCTTCAGTACCACATATACAGAAAAAGCCAAAAGTAGTGCTGTGGCTCAAGTGGTAGAGTGCTAGCCTTGAGCAAAAGAAGCTCAGGGACAGTATCCAGGCTCTGAGTTTAAGCCCCAGGTCTGGCAAAAACAAAAGACAAAAACTTTTATTTTGGTGCCAGGACAGACTTTTTGGTACCCAAATGTGGCTTCTTTTTTTTTTCCACTCAAGGCTGACATTCTACCTCTTGAAGCTCAGCTCCACTTCCAGGATTTGCTGATTAATTAGAGCCCAGAGTCTCATCAATTTTCCTTCCCCAAGCTGACTTCAAACATCCATCCTCAGATCTCAGCCTCCTCATAGCTAGGATGACAGGCATGAGCCACTGATGGCCAGCTGTGCCCCAAGGTAGAAAACCTCAAGATTGCAAACAGGGGGACATCACAATGAGCCCCAGATCCAGTCTCCACCCCTACATCTGCCATGACAAACTCCCCAATTTGGGGACCAGAACAAAAGAAAAAAGTGGTAAAGCAGATGGGAGGGGCAGGGACCCAGCTGGCCTAGGTGACTCACCCCTGCCTTCCACCCACCGCCCACAGCTGGCACAGACCCTGACCCTGGGGCACAACTGGCAAGGCTGGGCCTGACCCTCCTCCCCCTCCTCCTCCTGCCCTCCTCCCATGCTCCCTGGGGTCCCAGACACATTGCCCCTCACTCAGGCTAGGGCCCCACAGAAGGCCTCCCCTGGGTCCCCAGCCAGCCTGGCACATGAGACTCCCAGACACCCATCCACTGGTCCTCACAGGTCCCGCTAGGCTCAGCCTCAGCCTCCTGCCCAGGGCTGAGGACAGCACTGACAGCCCTGGTCACCACTGCCCTCTGCTCACAGACTCAGGAAGCACCATCCACAAACTGCCTCCCATGGACACCATTTGGCCTGGCTGGGCCAGGGCTGGATCCCAGGCCCCAGCTGTGCCAGGAAGGGGGAGGTGAGGGCTCAGTGACCCCGGGGGTGATGGGGACTCAGGGACAGCTGCCCTTCCCCAGGTCCTGGCTGGTTGGCTCCAGGCATGCATGCTCTAGCAGACATGGTAGGGAGCAGCAGGAGGGGCACACACAGGCCTGGGGCGGGGCGGGAAGCAGTTGGTCCTAGGTGCAACCTGCACAGCTGTGCTGCCCTGCTTCCTGCCCGCTCAGCTCCACATGCCTGTCCTCCCTCTGCTGTCCTCCCTCCCTCCCTGCCTCAGTCCCTGGACCACCCCCCACCATCCTGCCAGCTGCCCCCATGTTCCTGCTCAGTGATGATGGCGTACAAAGGGACATGGGTTAGGGTGTCCTAAACACCCAGACTAGGAACGGGACACAGGGAACTCTGCCCCAGCCTCCATCTCCTCTTCTTTGCCTCCCGGACTCCACAAGAAGAACCAAGGAGAGGGGAAATCAGGAAGAAGGATGAAAGAAGTTTCTGGAAGCAGGCACAGGAAAGGGGGCAAGTTGAGCAATTCCCCCCCACTCCCACCAAAGACACACACACAGACACACACACACACACACAGACACACACACACACAGACACACAGACACACACAGACACACACAGACACACACACACACACAGACACACACACACACACACACACACACACACACAGGAGAAGATTTCCCATCCCCCACCCCTCTCCTGTGCTCCCGCCCCACCCAGCAGGTGGCAAAGAGCCTGGGGCAGCTGCAGGCTGGGAGTGGAAAGTTGGGGTGGAGTCAGGAGACTTAGAGCAGGATCTATCTCTCTTCTCCCTAATTCTAGGCCTCCTAGCCCATCCCTTCCTTCCCCACCTTGCTCCCAGGTCTCCCAAGGGGAGGTTCAACTCAGAGGAGAAGAGCTCTGAACAGGAGGTAAGGTGGTTGTATTTCTTTTGGGGATTGCACCTCATTCTACAGAGGAGAAAATGGAGGTTCAGAGACTGATGGTCTTTCACACAAAGCCACAATACAATAAAGGATCACAGCTTCAACCATTAAGGATCTTTTTTATTGAATGTTTTATCAATAGAACTGAGCTGGTATGGTAGTACATACCTATAATACCAGCACTCTGGATCTAACCAGAGTCCTAGTTGAGGACAGTCCCTGGACATTCCAACATATTAGGTTCAACTACTTGCTCAACATGTCAACTAAAGAATTCATCCTTTGCTGGTGGCTGGGGGCTCAAGCCTGTAATCTTAGCTACTAAAAAGGCTGAGATCTGAGGATTTCGGTTCAAAGCCAGCCGGGAAGGAAAGTCCGTGAGACTCTTATCTCCAGCTAACCACCAGAAATCCGGAAGTGGCACTATGGCTCAAGTGGTGCTCACCTTGATCAGAAGAGCTGAGGAACAGCGCCCAGGCCCAGAGTTCAAGACCCATGAGCAACAACAACAACAACAAAAAGATGATTAATCAGGGTAAGGTTGCTTCAGGAAGAGGAAGAGTAGGTCCTTCAACCCATCTTTAGGGCACTGACACCATGAAGTTTAGGTTTCAATAGAGGAAAAACTGCGGAAGAATTGGGGCAGGGTTTGAGAAGTATGCATTGTTAAGCAGTTCTGGTCAAGGTGTGGCCAGGCGGTTGGCCTGGTCATCAGAAAACAAGCCTGGCCACTGCCTGCCACGTTGGACCCTTATCAGAAGATGTCATTTCCGTCAGCCCTGTGGTTCCAGGAATCCAAGGGGAGATGCGGGAGATAATGGCTCAGAGCAAAAAGATGCAAACTGGGAACAGGGTAGCTCAGACCTATAATCCTAATTACTCAGGAAGCTGAGGTCTGAGGATTGTGGTTCAAAGCCAGCCCAGGCAGGAAAGTCTATGGGACTCTTATCTCCAATTAACCACCAAGAGGCAGGAAGTGGAGCTGTGGCTCAAGTGATGAGTGCTAAATTTGAATTAAAGAAGCTCCGATTACAATGCCCAGGCCCTGAGTTCAAGCCCTAGGACAAGAAAGAAGGAAAGAAAGAAAGAAAAGGAGAGAGAGAGAGAGACAGAGAGAAGGAGGGAGAGAGAGAGAGAGAAGGAGGGAGGGAAGAAGGAAGGAAGGACGGAAGGAAGGAAGGAAGGAAGGAAGGAAGGAAGGAAGGAAGGAAGGAAGGAAGGAAGATGCCAGGTGGGCATTGATGGCTCAGGCCTGTAATCTTAGCTGCTTAGCCAAGATCTGAGTATTGCAGTTCAAAGCCAGGCCAGTCAGCAAAGTCAATGGGACGCTTATCTCCAACCAACCACCAAAACACTGGAAGTAGAGGTGTGGCTCAAGTGGTAAAGCAGCAGCCTTAAGCACAAAAGCTCAGAGACATTGCCCAGGCCCTGAACTCAAGCTTTAGTACAGGCACACCAAACAAACAAACAAACAAAAGATCAACGTGATCTGTAAGATCAACGTGATCTGTATAATTGAGCAGAGTCTTGCAGATGATTATCTGGGTTCCAGTTCTTGGCCGTTATCACGGCATCACTTCGGGGTGTCCTGTCACTGGAGGGTGGCTAGCAATCTGATTTCCAGGAGATAACTTCCTGGCCTCCAGGGTGCAGCCTCATCAGCATAGGCCCATATCCATATTTGGGGGTGTTCTGTTCTGCAAGCCTCTGCTGCTCCTGGGGGCTGGTTGTGGGCTCTTGTCAGGAAGATGTTATTCATCAGTCCTGTTCTTCTTCCAGGGAGACTGCAGGTGGGAAGGCCAAGCTTTTGCTCTGCTCCAAGTTTAACTCGTGGGCTTAGATCAGAACGAGAGAGAGAGAGAGAGAGAGAGAGAGAGAGAGAGAGAGAGAGAGAGAGAGAGAGAATACTAGTCCTGGAGCTTGAATTCAGGGCCTGGGTACTAGTACTTAGTTTTTTTGCTCAAGGCTGGCACTCTACCACTTGAGTCACAGCTCCACCTTTAGCTTTTGGTTTTTCCTGCCAGTCCTGGGGCTTGACCTCAGGCCTGGGCACTGTCCCTGAGCTTCTTCTGCTCAAGGCTAGCACTCTACCACTTAAGCCACAGTGCCACTTCTGGCTCTTTCTGTTTATGTGGTACTAACGAATTGAACCCAGGGCTTCATGTATGCTTGACGAGCACCCTACCATTAAGCCACCTTCCTAGCCCACTTTTGGCTTTTTGGCAGTTCACTGGAGATAAGAATCTCATGGACTGGGCTGGGAAGGTGGTTTAGTGGTCTAGTGTCTGGACACTATTCTGGACCTTTTGTGCTCAAGACTAGCACTCTACCACTTGAGCCACAACTCCATTTCCAGTCTTTTCCCCCTATACTTTTTATTGGAGATTAAAAAAAAAATCTGGCAGAGGGGGCTAGGAAGGTAGCTCAGCGGTAGAGCGCTTGCCTAGCATGCATGAGGCCCTCGGTTCGATTCCTCAGCACCACATCAGCAGAAAAAAAAAGCCGGAAGTGGCGCTGTGGCTCAAGTGGTAGAGCGCTAGCCTTGAGCTGAAGAGCTGAAGGACAGTGTCCAGGCCCAGAGTTCAGGCCCCACGACCGGACCCCCCCCCCCCAAAAAAAAAAAAATCTGGCAGACTTTCCTGCTTGCTCTGGCTTTGAAATAGATCCTCAAGATCTCAGTCTCCTGAGTAGCTAGGATTACATGTGTGTGCCACAGGCTTACTATATTCCTATAAAACAGAATTGTAACATTTGAAATGGCTAATAAAGTTGGAGAAAACCTGATGATTTAAAAATATATATCTTTTTTTTTTTTTTTTTGCCAGGAACTGGTGTCTCACACCTATAATCTTAGCTACTCAGGAGGCTGAGATCTGAGGATCATGGTTCAGAGCCAGCCTGGGCAGGAAAGTCCATGAAACTCTTATCTCTAATCAATCACCACAAGACTGGAAGTGCCGCTGTGGCTCAAGTGGTAGAGCGCTCGCCTTGAGCTGAAGAGCTGAGGGACAGTGCCCAGGCCCAGAGTTCAAGCCCCACAACCGGCCAAAAAAAAAAAATCCAAGATTTACCATAGTGACCAAAGAGAATCAATCAAGGAGACTTATTCAGGGAATCTCAGTTCCAAGAAATGAGATTTATGAACTGATAACAAACTTGGGGTCACTCTTCAAAGACAGGCAAGTTCAGACGTGCAGGGAAACTGCATGAACTTATATCCAGACTGGGTGAAGAAACGAGAGAGAAGTCATGGGAAACAACACAGAGACAGGATTCACATCAAAACAAACAAACAGGCTAGGAGAATCTGACTTCCCAGAGGGAAGTGATAGAGGAATGAGATCCACTATTCCTGACCATAGCCCAGCCCAACTGTTGCTATTGGAAGAGAAAAGTTTTTCTATTTAGTTTTGGGATGCCCTAAGTAGATTAGCTCCAGATCACTCTCAGGATCTGGCGTCTTTCCTGCTTGCTGTGTGGCCTTGGCTCAGAGACTACCCTCTCTGAACCCCAGTGTTCAACTTGCCAAAACAGAGGGGTCTTACAACCCCCAAAGCAACGCAGTGATCCAGGCTCCTGTTTAGAGCTCTTCTCCTCTGAGTTGAACCTCCCCTTGGGAGACCTGGGAGCAAGGTGGGGAAGGAGGGGATGGACTAGGAGGCCTAGAATTAGGGAGAAGAGAGATGGATCCTGCTCTAAGTCTCCTGACTCCACCCCAACTTTCCACTCCCAGCCTGCAGCTGCCCCAGGCTCTTTGCCACCTGCTGGGTGGGGCGGGAGCACAGGAGAGGGGTGGGGGATGGGAAATCTTCTCTGTGTGTGTGTGTGTGTGTGTCTGTGTGTCTGTGTGTGTGTGTGTGTGTGTGTGTGTGTGTGTGTGTGTGTGTGTGTGTGTGTCTTTGGTGGGAGTGGGGGGGAATTGCTCAACTTGCCCCCTTTCCTGTGCCTGCTTCCAGAAACTTCTTTCATCCTTCTCCCTGATTTCCCCTCTCCTTGGTTCTTCTTGTGGAGTCTGGGAGGCAAAGAAGAGGAGATGAAGGCTGGGGCAGAGTTCCCTGTGTCCCGTTCCTAGTCTGGGTGTCTAGGACACCCTAACCCATGTCCCTTTGTACGCCATCATCACTGAGCAGGAACATGGGGGCAGCTGGCAGGATGGTGGGGGGTGGTCCAGGGACTGAGGCAGGGAGGGAGGGAGGACAGCAGAGGGAGGACAGGCATGTGGAGCTGAGCGGGCAGGAAGCAGGGCAGCACAGCTGTGCAGGTTGCACCTAGGACCAACTGCTTCCCGCCCCGCCCCAGGCCTGTGTGTGCCCCTCCTGCTGCTCCCTACCATGTCTGCTAGAGCATGCATGCCTGGAGCCAACCAGCCAGGACCTGGGGAAGGGCAGCTGTCCCTGAGTCCCCATCACCCCCGGGGTCACTGAGCCCTCACCTCCCACCTTCCTGGCACAGCTGGGGCCTGGGATCCAGCCCTGGCCCAGCCAGGCCAAATGGTGTCCATGGGAGGCAGTTTGTGGATGGTGCTTCCTGAGTCTGTGAGCAGAGGGCAGTGGTGACCAGGGCTGTCAGTGCTGTCCTCAGCCCTGGGCAGGAGGCTGAGGCTGAGGCTGAGCCCAGCGGGACCTGTGAGGACCAGTGGATGGGTGTCTGGGAGTCTCATGTGCCAGGCTGGCTGGGGACCCAGGGGCAGCCTTCTGTGGGGTCCTGGCCTGGGTAAGGGGCAATGTGTCTGGGACCCCAGGGAGCATGGGAGGAGGGCAGGAGGAGGAGGGGGAGGAGGGCCAGGCCCAGCCTTGCCAGTTGTGCCCCAGGGCCAGGGTCTGTGCCAGCTGTGGGCGGTGGGTGGAAGGCAGGGGTGAGTCACCAAGGCCAGCCCTATCTTGCCTCTATTTAAGGTCCCTGCGGGGTTCACTGCCACAGTGCTGCCTTCCCACTGTGCCAGCCATGAGCTCGGTGAGTGCTTTAGGAGCCCAGGGTCAAGCTCAGCCCCCACGGCCTGTGCAGGTGTGGGGGCTGGGCCTGGCTTGGAAGTCCTGCTCCAGGGAGAAAGTGGGGGCCTGGGCCTGCGGAGAATTGCCCAAGGGTGGACTTAGTGTCACCCAGACTTCGCCAAGGTCTCCATCTCTCTCCTCTGCTGCATCTCACCTCACATTTTTACTGCCAGTTTCTCTTGTCTTTCTGTCCCCATTCCTGGTGCCTTTCTGGATCTCTCCTATTCTGGGGTCACTTGTCTCTACCTTCTGGAGCTCCTTTTATTTGGTTGGTTATGGGGCTTGAACTCTGGGCCTGGGTGCTGTCCCTGAGCTCTTCAGTTCAAGGTGAGCGCTCTACCACTGGAGCCACAGCGCCACTTCCTATTTTCTGAGTGGTTTATTGGAGATAAGAGTCTCACAGAGTTGCCTGCCTGGCAGGCTTTGACTCACATTCCTCAGAACTCAGCCTCCTGAGTAGCTAGGATTACGGGTGTGAGCCACCGGCGCTGGACTGGAGCTCTTTTTAGAGAGGCTCACCTACCTGCCAGCTCTCCCTGTGTTTCCCCTGTTCACATACTTCCTCTACCCTGAATCTTGCAGACGGTCCCCCACAAGACCTCCCTGCCTGATGGCCTCCGTACAGGCACTGTGATGAGGATTCGAGGCATTGTTCCTGACAAGGCCAGCAGGTAAGAAAACCCTCCCTCTGGGCCCCCAAGTAACCAGGGCAAAAGTACTGGGTGAGAGGGTGATCTTCAGGTTTAGGGGATCCTCCATGACAGCCCAGAGATGGAAGGCCTGGAACCTTCTCTGCACATCAGAGTTTTGGAACCTTTATGAAAACTGCTATGAAATCAGATATGTTCACTAATTTCCTCATGACATCCTGTATGGAGTTCTGAGGTCTCCCTAAATAATCTGGGGTTCGAGGGCCACCTTTGTATAGCCCTAAGTGGGCCTCGAGCTCTAGGACCTGCCAGTTAGTGTATGTTTTCTTCGTGGGGGGGGGGGCTTGTGGGGATTTGGGATCCCTTGTACTGCCCCTGGTGCTCTGAGGCCCTGTCAGGCCTGGGGAACTTATACCATGGCCACGAACACGCAGGCTGTTCTGGGTAGATCTGTGCTCAGAGTCCCCATCATCGTTAGGGCCTCCAATCTGTGATTCCCTGCCCTTGTCCACCCTACCCGACTCCCTCACGCTGGGCCCTGTGAGTTGCCAAGTCCCCAGGCTCTGAACAGAGAGTCTTGGGTCCTTGGGTGCTTGGCCTGAGTCCTCCCAGTGGTGATGACCGAGTCTCGATCCTCTCTCCCTCCGCAGGTTCCACGTGAACCTGCTGTGCAGCGAGGACCAGGGCGCCGACGCCGCCCTGCATTTCAACCCGCGGCTGGACACGTCGGAAGTGGTCTTCAACAGCATGGAGCAGGGCAAATGGGGCACGGAGGAGCGCGGCGCAGGCGTCCCCTTCCAGCGGGGCCAGCCCTTCGAGGTGCTGCTCATCACCGCGGAGGACGGCTTCAAGGTGTGGCTGGGGCCCTGGGGCCCTGCAGGGCGGGACGCTGAACGCTGGGCGTGGCGCGGTGGGCGGGGCGATATGCGATGGGCGGGGCATCGATCGCGGGGCGGGGCGTGGGTGTTGCGTGTAGAGCTGTGGGCGTGGCAGGGTGCTGTGGGCGTGGTTTGATGCTGTGAGCAGGGTGGAGCACGCGGTGCAATGGTTAGGTCCGCCGGCCGGGGCGTCCGTGGACCATCCCCTGGCCTGTGCGCACCTCCACCCCACTAGAGGGGCAGTAGGGCGGGGCAGGATCCGGGGTGGGGTGCCCTGGTGGGGTGGGCCGCAGCCTCCCGCCCGCCTTCCTCTCTGTCCTTAGTGCCCGAGATCAGGAGGGGTGAGGACGGCGTGGAGTGGCAGTGAGAGCCCAGGACCTCATCCTGGCGGGCCAGGGTGGCTGAGACCGTCCCCACTTTATTCATTTTTGTGCTAGTACTTGGGTTTGAACTCAGGGCCTGTCCCTGAAGCTCTATCACTTGAGCCACAGCTCCAGTCCCGGCTCTTTGCTGGTTCATTGGAGATCACAATCTCATGGACTTTCTTGCCCAGGCTGGCTTCGAACCCTGTTCCTCGCACCTCAGCCTCCTCAGTACACTGAGGTGACAGGCGTGAGCCACCAGCGCCCAGCCACAATCATCACTTTAAATTAGAGTTTCAATAGTGACCACGGACTCCCCAATGTAGCAACCATTCCCAACTCTTTCTAAGAAACTTTTCTCCCCCTTTCCTCCCACCCCACCGTTCCAACTCAGGACCCAGCGCCCCACGAATCAGCAACCCCCCAAACACTTCTGCTCAGGTTCTGTCCCACTCTCAAGTCATTTGACCCCAGAAATGGGCCTGTGCCCCATGTCTGCAGCGGGGAGCCCCCGGGGCGCAGCCGGACACGCAGCTCCCCAAGCTGCATCCCCTTGGATGGGCTCTGGCTGGACCTACTGTAGCCCCCGGGGTGGGGGTGAGGGTCTCTGACTGTGACTTTTGCCCCGCAGGCCGTGGTAGGGGACACCCCCTACCATAACTTCCGCCACCGGATGCCGCTAACGCGCGTGCGCGCAGTAGAAGTGAGCGGCGACGTGCTGCTGGATTCCGTGAGGATCTTCTGAGCCCGAGCCGCGGGCGGGGTTCAGGGAGGGGGGGCGGGGAGCCCAATAAAGTGTAGCCTTGGTGCCTGACTGCGTCCGCATGGCCTTTGTATGGAAGGAGGGCACCTGAGGACCAGGGAGCTGAGGACAGACACTCAGGGGCTGCCGCCCGATTCAAACTTGTGTCCCTTGATGGGCAGGTTTGGTCCTCAGATCCCAGGGATTGTCATCCGGTGGGAGTGGGGCGGGAGTGTCTAGGTCAATGGCGACTAATATGTGTATTTGAACAAGGGAAACTGAGTCCGTGTGATCCTGATCACTGGACACCTCAAACTTGAGCTGGGAGCGAAAATAAACATCTCAAAGCTCTCTGCCCCTCCCACCTACTTCAGCTCCCCACCCCCCTTTTTTTTTCTTTCTCCCTAGCCCCAAGAAGGGGTGGATTGGGTGAGTTGACTTGGGATGGGGCGTCATCTCCTGGAACTGCACCCCGCCATGCGGACAGGTCTTTGCATGCACAGCCCCGGGGCAGACGGGTAGCTTTGAAAGATGCCATCAACGGGGTGTGCATTGTGCAACAGGCAGCTGTCCCCTGGATTCTTAGGAACACCCAGCACTTCCCCCAACCCTTCATAGTGATGAAGGCGCTCTGCAGCACAGCCCCACTGCCTGGGGTGACTAAGGGCAGTGGCCTTGGGCATCACCACGGGGGGTAGAGATTCTGCTCCTGTGCTACCATAGGGTCAGGTTGCATTTGGAGAGTCTTCCTGGAGTCCCCCACTGCCCAACCCATGAAGGGGTGAGCCTGGTTTCTGCCCAGGCTCCAAACCACAGGATGATGTCCTCCCTGGCGACCATTGTCCATGTATCCACTTTGACCATCATGGCCAAGAAAACATCCTTGGTGACTAGGTGAGCCATGACTGGGCTCTTACCTTTTCTTTTTTTCATTTTTTGGTTGGTTGTGGGGCTTGAACTCTGGGCCTGGGCGCTGTCCCTTAGCTCTTCAGCTTAAGGCTCTACCACTTGAGCCACAGCGTCACTTCCCATTTTCTGGTGGTTAAGTGGAGATAAGAATCTCACAGGGGCTGGGAAGGTGGCTCAGTGGTAGAGTGCTTGCCTTGCATGCATGAGGACCTGGGTTTGATTCCTCAGCACTACATACGCAGAAAAAAACAGAAGTGGTGCTGTGGCTCAAGTGGAAGAGTGCTAGCCTTGAGTTGAAGAGCTGAGGGACAACACCCAGGCTCAGAGTTCAGACCCATGACTGACCAAAAAAAAAGAATCTCACTGACTTTCCTGCCCAGGCTGGCTTTGAACCTTGATCCTCAGATCTCAGTCTCCCCAGTAGCTAGGATTGCAGGTGTGAATCACTGGCGCCCAGCAACTCCCGCCTTTTCTGATTTGTTAGTTTTGGGCCCCTGTGCCCCCCTGCTTGTCCCTTCCCTTAGTAGAAGTGGTGGTTAGGATGGGACACCTATTTCATGGAGCTCTGAGAAAGTCTGCAAGCCCTGGCGAAGAAGCTGGTGTTTTGCAGTGTCAAGTACTTACAGTAACTTTCTAGGTGTTTATTTTTGTGCCAGTTCTAATGCATGAACTCAGGGCTGAGCATTATCCCTGAGTATTTGTGCTCAAGGCTAGCACTCTACTACTTTGAGCCACAGCTCCATTCCTGTCTTTTATGGTGATTAATTGAAGATAAGATTCCACTGACTTTCCTACTCCACTGATTTTGAACTGCAGTCCTCAGATTTCAGCCTCCTGAGTAGCTAGAATTACAGGCTTGAGGCACTGGCCTTGTAGCTGTCCAGGTTTTTGTTTTTGCCACTCCTGGGGTTTGAAATCAGGGCCTCAGCACTTTGCCTCTCTGTGCTCTACCACTTGAGCCCCAGCGTCACTTCCAGCTTTTTCTGTTTATGTGGTTCTGAGGAATCAAACCCAGGGCTTCATGCATGTTAGACAAGCACTCTACCACTAAGGCACATCCCCAGCCCTGTTGTTTTCTTTTGCCCATCCCGGGGCTTGAACTCTGGTCTGGGCATTGTCCCTGAGCTTGTTTTGCCCAAGGCTAGCACTCTACCAATTGAACCACAACTTCATTTTCTTCCCCTTTTTCTGAGTTTATTGAAGATAATAGTCTCAGGGACTTTACTGCCCTGGCTGACTTCGAACCTCAATCCTCAGATTTGAGCTTCTGAGTAGCTAGCATTACAGGAGTGAGTTGCCAGAGCCAAGCTTTTTCCAGGGTGTTTGTAAAGACATTCTTAGAAGTCAGGTGTTGGCAACTCACAACTGCAATCCTAGCTACTCAGAAGGCTAAGATCTATGGATCAAAGTTCAAAGCCAGCCGGGTGGGAAAGTCCTTGAGACTCTAGTCTCCACAACCACCAGAAAACCAGAAGTGGAGCTGTATCTCATAGTGATAGAGTGCCAGCCTTGAGCAAAAGAGCTCAGGAACAGACCCAGACCCTGAGTTCAAGCCCCATGATTGATAGGAAATAATCTGTCACAGTGTATATATCTGGGAATATAGGTGGGGCCTCATGCCATGTGGCATGGAAACTTCCCATCTTCCCCCCATATACTATGTGGGTGTGGAGTGCTCCCAGAGCAGAAATTACACAGGTATTTATGAGTGATAAAGAAGCATGTGAGTGACTTAGCAATTCAGTAGGGAAATGCAAATATACATAGTAGATTTTATAATGTATATTACACACACACACACACAGAGACAGAGTAGCTACTACAGGAAGCTTAGAGGAGGAGGATAGAGGTTTGAGAAAAGTTCAATAGTTCAATAGATTCCATCTGTAATCAATGACCAAAAAAACCTGGACTGGATTGTTAGTTCATACCATCAGGCCCTTAGTTAAAATCTCGGTCTAAACACCAAAATTTGTATTAAACTGTTTCTGGAAGTATGTTTGAAATCCTGCAGTTGCTCTTCAGCATAACAAAAAGTAAAGATAAGCTGGGTGCCAGCAGCTCACACCTGTAATCCTAGCTACTCAGAAGGCTAAGATCTGAGGCTCGAGGTTCAAAGCCAGCCTGGATAGGAAAGTTGGTGAGATTCTTATCTCCAATAAACCACCAGAAAACCAGAAGTGATGTTGTGGCTCAGCGGTAGAGCACTAGCCCTGAGCTGAAGAGATGAGGAACAGTGCCCAGGCCCAGAGTTCAAGCCCCACAACTGACCAAAAAAAAAAAGTGAAGATAAAAATAACATCTATTGGTGACTCTGAATATAGCCAGAAGGACCACGTGACAATCAAGTTTCAGAATGTTCATGTAACCTCTGATCTATCTCTCCCACCTTTCCTGTTGACCCTGTGTGATCATCTTTGACCATTCAGATCTTTCCCCTTGACCACAAGGGTGACTTAAGACGGGAGGATCAAATGACTCAGGGCAGCCTAGGCTACAAAATGACAACTTGTTTCAGAAGAGCAAAAGAACCTTATCCCCAACTTCACAGCTGCCTTCTGGGAGTCCCCCGGGACTCGAGGTCTCCCTCCCCTCCAGTAATGGGCCAAGTTCTCTCCAGAACATTTTTTGCTTTTTAATTGTTCTCAGAAAAGAGAAAAAAAACCTGGGTGGAAGAAATGATCATCATAAAGTTATAAGGCTTGAGAGCACTGAGAAGGCTCTAGAGGTCTGTCTTGAATCTTCCTACTACAGAGGAGGAGGTCAGCAGAGAGGTGGGCAGGCAGATCCCGGAGCAGGCCGGGCTTGGTGCTCAGAGTTTGGAGAAGGTGATGCTCTTCAGGTCCTTCTTTTCCATGGCCGCCTGCACCGACTTCACGATGTCCTGGGTCTGCAGCATGCTCATGTTCCAGAGGCCTGCGGAGGGGGCGGGGCGATGCTAGTGGGCACCAATCCGAGAGCGAGGTGCAGGCCCCCTACCCACGAGTCCCTATTGGATGCAAGAGTAGCAGGATGTGAGGTGATTGGTGGAGGCCGTGCCGGGACTGGGAGTGTGGTGATTGGTGGAGGCCATGCAGCGTGAGCAGTGATTGGCAGAGATCCTGCAGGAAGCGTGGTGATAGTCCAGCGCCATGTCCACCGCGAGTAGAGCAGATTGACCTTGGTGCTCTGAACGGCCACTGGGCTCTTGCTCGACACCTCAGCCGCCAGCGCGAAGGCTGCGTCCAGCACGGCCTCCTTGTCCACGAACACGCGGCTTCAGGAGGGGATAAAAGGAATAGGAAGCCTGGCAGAGCCCAGGAGAGGACCTATCTTCCAGGTGCTGACCCCTCACCACCAGCTGCCAGCCACAGCCACTCCCAAGAAGGCACCGCCCGTGACCTGGAGAGGGGACAGAAGGTCCCCGCGAACCCCTGGTTGCCCTCCGCCCCCATCCGTGGCCCTGTCCCCGTCCTCAGCCCCCACTACCTGACCAGTCCACTGCTCAGCGCCTCGTTCGCCATCATCTTTCGGGCAGTGAAGGCCAGCTCGTTGACCAGGCTGTGGGAATGGAGGGAGGGCGCATCAGGACTCCCTGTGGTCTGGGGTGGGGGAGACCCCACAGTCCTCCCCTCCGCCCCCCACTCACCTCTAATGCCCAATGACTTTGGGCAGCCGCTGCAGCGCCCCAAAATCAGGGGCCAGGCCTATGTTCACCTCTTAGTGTGCAGTGGGACTGTCATCATTTGCTTTCCAACACTCAAGGCCAGGACTTGGTGCCATTCTCCAGAGCTGTTCCCCACTTCCCACCAGTTCTGTACCCTCACCCCCAAACACCTCCTACTCCCCTACAATGCTAACCCTAGATAGTTCCTCCCTAGGAGACCTACTGGTTCTTATTTTTGTTAGTCCTGAGGCTTGAACTCCGGGCCTGGGTGCTATCCTTGAGCTCTTTTTTGCTCAAGGCTAGCACTCTACCACTTCAAGTCACAGCACCACTCCTGGTTTTCTGGTGGTTAATTGTAGATAAGAGACTTATGGACTTTCCTGCCCAGGCTGGTTTTGAACCTTGATCCTCGTATTTCAACCTCCTGAGTATCTATGATGACAGGCATGAGCACCCAGCAACTTCCTGGTTCTTTACAGTGGGTTCTTCATGGCGGCCTCACCTCTCAGGAGGCACTCCTTCCCTTTCCCTCCCCTCCTCTCCCTCTCTCCCTCCAGATCCCACCTGCAGCTGGCTTCATCCTGTGTCTCTGGGTCTCCAGCGTGGCTTGACAGCCACACTGTCTGTGCCACCTCCCCCCAATCACGCCTCACTTCCCTAGATGCCTGCCAGGAGATGTTCTCCATGGTACTAGAGCCAGGAACAAGATCCTCCATGTGCCAGATAAGCAGTCTACCAAGCCAAATCCCCAGCTCTTGGTTTGGAGAGGCAAGGTCCTGCATGTGGTCCAGATTAACCTAGAACTCCAGTCTTTCTGCCTCCACCTCCCAAGTGCCAGGATGACAGCTGTGTGCTACCTTACCTGTCTCCTGAGCTATGGAAGGGTCACTCTGACTCCTCTGCCGTGAAGCCCTCAGGGCTTGCTCTCTCCACACACATGGTCCCTGCTCTGACAGGTGTGCCACTCTCTAGTTAGCACTGTGGGGGTCCCGGAAGGCAGGAGCTCAGGGAGACTCACCTTGACCTGGAAGAAAGCATCCTGGGCACAGTAGCGGATGTCACAGGCAGTGACGAGGTCCACACCTGGAAGGAAGAGGCCAGGGACAATGCAGAGGGAAAGAGCCTGGCCCTGCTCCCCAGTCATGGCCGCATGCAGGGCCCCAGGCTCAGCAGCAGAGAGCTGAGAGTGGAAGCCCTGGCTGAGGGAGGGGAGGCCTCAGCACCCCCTCCTCCACCAATGCACCCGCCGTGGATGGCAGCGATCACAGGTTTGGGGCACTGGAAGGGAAGGCAGGGCTGGGGTCAGGGCTGAGGGCAGTGGGCAGAGGAGCTGCTGCCCTGCTGTGCCCAGAGTCACCTTCTCAATGACGCTGAAGGTCTTCTGGTACTGGGTGATGAGGTCATGGAGGTACCAGCTGATGCGGGCCACGTCGTCTCCCTCGGGCTGCAGCAGTTCTGAAGCCATATCCATGAGGTCGATTCCTGGCTAGGAAAGGGGGGAGGAGGCACTCACATAGTCTTCCAGCACTCCAGAACCTAGCCAGGCCTCAGATCCAAAATGGTCCCATGGTCACTAGCCACAGCAAGTTGTCTCCTGATATTGGGGTTTGGGATGGAGTGAACTTGCACCTCTATCTTCCTTCTTCTGACTTTTCTTCCTCTGGTTTTCTTTTCTTTTTTGCCAGTCCTGGGGCTTGAACTCTGGGCCTAGGCATTGTCCCCGGCTGTTTTTTGCTCAAGGCTAGTGCTTTACCACTTGAGCCACAGGGCCACTTCCACCGTTTTCTGAGTAGTTTATTGAAGAGAAGAGTCTCTCTCAGACTTTCCTGCCCAGGCTATCTTTGAACCATGATCCTCAGCTGTCAGCCTCCCAAGTAGCTAGGATTACAGGAGTGAGCTACTGGTGCCCAGCTTTCCTGTTTTTCTTTCATGCTTTGTTTTATAGGGCTTATACTCAGGGCGTGGGCACTGTCCCTAAGCTCTTTTGCTCAAGGCTAGCACTATCACTTTGAGCCATAGATTTACTTCTGGTTTTCTGGTAGTTCATTGGAGATAAGAGTCTGACCGACTTTAGTGTCGGGCTGGCTTTGAAGCATGATTCTCAGATCTCAGCCTGTGAGTCACTGGTATGCAGTCTTTGTTTTGTTTTGGAAACAGAGTTCGCTAGGTAGCCCTGGCTGGCCTGGAACTCCTGACCCTCCACCTCTGGCTCCTGAATGCTCAGATTCGAGGCCTGGACTGCTGTTCATGACTGTCCCAGCTATAGTGTGGCTCAGTGGTAGAGAATCTGCCCAGGATGTACACAACCCTGAGTTCCAGCGTGCAACTATGACTATCTGATGGCCAAAGAGGTCCAGGCTCCATGCTGCCATAGGCAAGAAAGATAAACCAGATTAGATCGTGAGTTTAAGCCCAGGACCAGCCACACACACACACACACACACACACACACACACACACACACACACACACACACACACACGTAAAATTAGACTGGAACAATGTGACACAGGGCTGTAATCCCAGCACTTGGTGGAGGCAGGAGGATCGGAGTTGGAGGCTAGCCTACAATACATCTCCTTGAGACTCCATCTCAACTATATGAAAAGCATGACATATATCTGTGTTGGGAGTCAGCAGGGAGGCTGTTGCTTTGTCTAATGACCTCAGTGAGAGACCTGAAGGAGATGAAGGGAAGGGACATGAATATATCTAGACTGTGGTGAACAGATGATGGGAACAGCCAGTGCAAAGGCCCAGTGGTTGGATTGGAATGCCCCTGACAAGATGGTCTGCAGAGCTAGAATAGAGTGAGCATGATAGAGATGAAGGCCAGGGTCAGGGAGGGAAAAGGAGGATTTGCCTGCCTCTTCCTCCTGAATAATTGGGATTACAGTTGTGTGCTACAATGCCCAACTTCATGTTTTTCTTTTATCTGTAATTTCATCTCTTCATAGGGTCACTGGGAGAAGCTGCCTGTCTTCTCTATGGTCCTTGGGCTCATGTTACAGAATACAGATCTTAAGGGCCATAATTGTTAGGTGCTAAAAATGGAGGTCACATAGAAATGGAGGCATTTTCATAGGGATTGCTTTTTTCCCCCATGTGGGAGCTTGAACTCAGGGCCTAGCCACTGTCCCTGAGCTTTTTTAACTTAAGGCTAACATTCTACCACTTTGAGCCGCAGCTCCACTTCTGTCTTTTTTTTTTTTGTCGGTCATGGTGCCTGAACTCTGGGCCTGGGCGCTGTCCCTCAGCTCTTCAGCTCAAGGCTAGCGCTCTACCACTTAAGCCACAGCACCACTTCCGGCTTTTTTCTTTTTGCTTATGTGGTGCTAAGGAATCAAACCCAGGGCCTCTGGCATGCAAGGCAAGTGCTCTACCACTGAGCCACCTTCCCAGCCCTCCACTTCTCTCTTTTTTGGTAACTTATTGCAGACAAGAGTCTCACAGACTTTCCTGCCAAAGCTGGCTTCAAACCATGATCTTCAGGTCTCAGCCTTCTGAGTAGCTAGGATTATAGGCATGAGCCAGTGACTCCTGGCTTGGGATTGCTTCTTGTGTCTGTTGTCTGCCACTGAGAGGCCCTGGCCTAGCTAGGTCCTCCCTTCTGTTTGTTTAATGATTGTTGCCTCAATCCTTTTTATACCTTCTGAGTAGCTGCATGACAGGTGTGAGCCACCATGTCCTGCTATCAGTTGACATAGGGGTGGAGGTGGGAGATGTCTCCGTAACTTTTTGATAAGGTTGGCCTCAATCGACAATCCTCTCCATCTGTGCCTCTGGAGTGGCTGGTATTAAAGGTGCCAGCCACTGTGCTAGCTGCAAATGGATATGTGAGAAGAAAACCTACAGTATCTGAAGTCAGAACACTGAGGGACTTTGATGGTCGATGACACCCTCTGGAGAGCAGAGCATAGGGCCACAGACACCCAGAGACTAGCATGTGCCTGCTGACTACGTGGGCAAGGCCCCGCTATGGTGACACACTTGGCTGACCCTGCTCTGGACTCTGAGAGGCCAACAGTCTGGTTCAACTGTCTGGTTCAAGGGCTCAGATAGTGTGTTCTGCACTCATTTCTCGATTGGCCCTCTGGGGAGAGGATGCTGGGGATGACTCAGGTCCTCTAGCATGCGAGGCCAGTGCTCTGTCTGAGCCACACCACAGCCCGATTGGATGCTTGAAATGAGGTCTTGTGACAAAAGAGCAAGAGGTTCAAATCATAAGTTAGAGCTGCCTAAAATCCTCAATTAGAAGCACTGCCATACCACCAGGACCAGGAGCGCCTGGGGAGGAGAAGGTACCTGAAGTGAACATTTTTCCTGCACCCGAGACCACCACAGCCCTGCAGTTGGAGTCCCTGGCTATCTTGTTGAAGCATTCCACCATCTCCCTGTGGAGGAGCAAGGAGGGAAGAGCCAGTAAGCACAGCAGTGGGACTGCCCCACCCTCAAGTCCATCTGTCTGTCCTCCAAGGCCAGCCAGGCCTGGTGCCCCAGCCCCGCCTCCACCTGCAGGAAGGCCTCCAGGATGTGCAGCCCGCACCTCCAGAAGGCCTTGTTCATGGCATTCCTCTTGTCAGGCCTGTTCAGCTGCACGTGGAGGACGTGTGTCCCAGCCGAGGTCACCTGCAGGGACTCATAGCTGTGGTCCGAGGCTTCCGAGGGGGCTGCCTTGGAGGCCTGGTGTGCGGAGGAGCTCAGGGGGCGAGGGCTGAGGTGGAAGCCCAGCTGGGTGGGCGCTGCCAGTCCTGCGGACAGAGGGGAAGAAGAGCCCTGGAGACGCCAGGATGGGGATGCACGTGTCTCGGGGAGCCTGGCCTGGAGAACACGAAGTCCTCAGAGCCCAGGGTCGAGGGGGACTGGGGTTGAGGACTGGGGTGCACTTGGCAGTGGGCTGAGTCTGAGAATACTTGAGACCGTGGACGGTGGGCTGAGCCAGGCCCGGGGGCGACGAGCTGTCGGGGACCCCAGATTGCAAAGACACAGTCTCATGGAGTTGGGGAGTTCTCTCGGGTTGGGAGCCTCTGCAGACCCCTGCGTTAGGCAGCGCACGGACCCTTTTGCTGCCTCCGCATAGGCCTCTCCTCGGTGGACCCCCCAGAGGACAGGGGGTGACTTACGCCTCAGCCACAGGTCGCGGAGCGCGCGAGAAACCGCCATCGCTGCGGTCATCAGGACTGTCAACACACTAACCTGAGGGGCGGAAGCCGAGGGGCGGGACGAAATCCGCCATGTTGAGCAAGGGCCTAGAAGCCGCAGCCCAACCCTCAGTGACGCCTCTGCGCCCGCCATCTTAACTAAGGGCAACCGGAAGTGGCGTTGGGAGTTCTCTGGCGTGCTCGGAAGGCAGCTCAGGAAGGAACCCTTTGCCCCACTGGGCACCTGGCCTGGGCCCGTATCTCACCGCCAGGGGGCCAATTCCGCATAAAGTTCAGCGCTGCGCTGTTTCGTGACAGCGGGCAAAGTGCTCACAGCTGGACTGAGCAAGGACGTGAAGGTCACAGCGCAGTTGCTGCTAAGTGAGTTTATCCTCGCGCAAGTTCAACTAAGAAGAGCAGGGACGAGCTGTGCTGCGAGGAGGTGCTGGTCGCCAGCCTCAGGACTGTGCCAACTCCCCACAGCACCCCAAGTCGAGAAACCGACTCCAGGAAGGTCGCAGCTTGGGCTAGACCTCTGTTCTTTACATGGCTGATGTAAAGATATCGTAGTACCCGGATGTAGACCCTGGACTCCAAGGATGCCCAGAAGGAAACCCAAGCTGCAAGGGAGTCTGATAGACTGCAGGTGACTGCTGCTCATAATCACTCTGTAAAGCTTCTTGGTTTAAAACTAACCCCAATTCAGTACTCTCCCAGGTGTATGGTGGCCTAGCTGTCAAATAATGTCATTTGACTAGTAGACATTGCTTAACATCTTCACAGCTAATTCTCCAAGTGGGATTTCAAGCACACAGCCGTTCCTCCCAAGTGTGGCTTGTTTAAGTCCCAGGGATTTGTTCTTCTGCAGGCTCTTCCAGGTTCTGCCTGACATTCTTTACTGACTCCCATGACAATTGGCTTGGGTAGCGGGGCAGTTAGCAGCAGAAAAGTTGGTTTAGGTATTCATTAAGGAATTAGTGTACAAATTGCAGTAGTTGTTTGCAGTAGGAGAGAAGAGCTGGAAATTGCCTTTAGTCCCAGGTTGAGTAAATTACGGCACACCCAGACAATGATACTGGGTTTTGGGTGGCGGAGTTACAGCAGCCCACAGAATATGGCAAGAGGCAGAAGAACATGGTACCAAGTCTGGGCACCTGTGGTGCATGACTGTAATCCTAGCTACTCAGGAAGCTGAGATCTGAGGATCTTGGCTCAAAGCCAGCCCGGTGGGAAAATCAGTGAGACTTGTAATTCCAATTAACCACCAGAAAACTGGAAGTGTCACTGTGGCTCAAAGTGGTAGAGTGGTAGCCTTGAAAAAAGAGCTCAGGGACACTGCCCAGTCCCTGAGTTAAAGCCTCACAACTGACAAAAAAAAAAGAGGGGGAGCATTACTTTGAAGAAATAAGGCCATTTTGGAGTATCTCTTAAAATCTCAGTTTTCTTTGTTTATTTGTTTCATCCATTGTGGGGCTTGAACTTGGATGCTGCCCCTCAGTCCTCAGCCTTGAACCTGGACCTGGGTACTGCCCCTAAACTCCTTTTCTCAAGGCTAGCACTCTACCACTTAACCTACAGCACCACTTACAGCTTTTTCTGTGATTAATACAAGATAAACAGTCTCCTGGACTTTCTTGCCTGAGCTACCTTTGAGCCATGATTCTCAGATCCAGCCTCCTGATAGCTAGGATTAAAGGTATAAGCCATAGCATCTGGCTTTTTTTTTTTTTTTTGGTCCAGTCCTGGGGCCCAAACTCTGGACCTGGGCACTGTCCCTCAGCTCTTCAGCTCAAGGCTAGCGCTCTACCACTTGAGTCATAGCGCCACTTCCAGCTTTTTTCTTTTTGCTTATGTGGTGCTGAGGAATGGAACCCAGGGCCTCAGGCACGCAAGGCAAGCACTCTACCACTGAGCCACCTTCCCAGCCCTGGCTTTTTTTTTTTTTTAAATGGGACCTCGAAATCCTGAGCTACAAACATCCTTCTGCCTATCTCCTGAGCAATTACAGGTGTCTCACACACTTGGCCTAGCTCTTACCACCACTTAGTTTTCTGGGCACTGTCCCTGGGCATTATCACTCAAGGCTGATACCATACTTCCTGTTTTTTGGTAGTTAATTGGAGATGAGAATCTCACAGACCTTCTTGCCCAGGATTAGCTTTGAATTGTGATCCTTAAGACCTCAGCCTCCTGAGTAGCTAGGATTGCAGAGGGGAGACACCTAGTTAGGAGAAGGAATTTAAAGACAAACAGAAGTGGCTTAATCAGGAGCAGGTTTATGGATGCAAAGCAAAGCGACAGCAAAGCTAATGTAACCGCTCCAGATGGGAGGTCAGGCATGTTCAGGTGGGAGTGCTGAACTACACACCCCAAGACCTCAAGTTTTATTGGGGTATGTGGACATGGATGGTCAATTTTGGAAAACTAGGTTAATGAGTCACTAATTTCCGGAGACTGCGCTGTGTGTCATCAACTTTTCCTATATATCTAGTAGGGCTTGGACTTGGGTGGTCAGACCAGGTGATGGGACTGCAGGCCAGCAAGACCTTGTTGTTTGTCGGTTGTGGGGCTTGAACTCTGGGCCTGGGCACTGTCCAGTGGCTCAAGGCCACTTCGGGTTTCCTGGTGGTCTATTGGAGATAATCGAGTCTCATGGACTTTCCTGCTAGGCTGGCTTTGAACTGGGATCCCCACATCTCAGCCTCCTGAGTAGCTAGGATTACAGGTGTGAGCCACCAGTGCCTGGCTTTTTTTTTTCTTCTCCAGTATAGGAGTTTGAACTCAGGCCCTTGCACATGTGAGGTAGGTACCTTGTCACTTGAGCCATACACACTCCCTTTTTGGTGGTTATCTCCAATTAATCACCAAAAAAGCTGGAATTGGAGCTATGGCTTAAATAGGAGAGAGCCAGCCTTGACTGAAAAAGCTAGGGGACAGCACCTAGGCCTTGACTTCAAAGCTGGTGGCTCATGCCTGTAATCCTAGCTGTTCAAGAGGCTGAGATCTGAGGATCTTAGAAGCCACCTCAAGTAGGAAAGTCTGTGAGACTCCTAGCTCCAATTAATCAGGTTGTGGCTCAGGTGGTAGAGCGTTAGCCTTGAGCAGAAGAGCTCAGGAACAGTGCCCGTGCCCTGAGTTCATGCCCCACAACTGACAAAAAAATGCAGTGGGGAGCTGGGAATGTGGCTTAGCGATAGAGTGCTTGCCTAGCATGCATGAAGCCCTGGGTTCCATTCCTCAGTACCACATAAACAGAAAAAGGCAGAAGTGGCGCTGTGGCTCAAGTGGTAGAGTGCTAGCCTGGAGCACAGAGAGGCTCAGGGACAGTGCCCAGGCCCTGAGTTCAGGCCCCAGGACTGGCAAAAAAATAAATAAGAAAGAAAGAAGAAATGTGCGCTCGTATTGGTGAAATTGGTACCATGCAGTGTCAGGGGGAATATTTGAGATTTTTCCTCACCCTTCTCAATGTCTACATTATAAAAGATCCTGTGTCTATCCTTTCCCTCCTCCCCCTACCCTCTTGGCCAGCTCTAGGAAACCAGGCCTCCCAAGGGTGTTGTTAGGTTCACCTTAAAGGAAACTTTTATGAAAGGTGAGCTCAGGACATCTATGACAGCCCGACAGAACAGGTTGTATGTCCATATTGTACCTGCCTCTATTACTACTCGGGCTGGTCTCAGCTGCCCAGATCTCAGCTTGGCTTACTTCTGAGCAGGCTTTACTTTCAAGCCTGATTTTGATGCTATGACTTTAGTCTAAATATTAGTCACATTCAAGTTCAGTTCTGTTTGGTAGATAGATATTGATGGCTGCTAAGAATTGGAGGTAAAACTGGGCGCTGGTGGCTCACACCTGTAATCCTAGCTACTCTTAAGGCTAAGATCTGAGGATCGAGGTTCAAAGCCAGCTGGGGCAGGAAAGGCCGTGAGACTCTTCAATAAACACTCAGAAAACCGGAAGTGGCGCTGTGGCTCAAGGGTAGAGTGCTTGCCTTGAGCTGAAGAGCTGAAGGACAGCGCCCAGGCCCAGAGTTCAAGCCCCACGACTGACCCCCCCCCCAAAAAAAAAGAATTGGAGATAGGCCACATAGCTGCACTACTGGGTAGTTAATTCAAATGAAAGTTCTGTGAAGGAATTCTGACACTAAATTTGTATATATGATACACAAGTGTTGCTCTGAACATTGGTAATTTTTCACAGGGCTCACACCTGTAATCATATCTGCTTGAGACTCTGTGATAGAACAAACATGATCTGAGACTAGCCAAAGCATACACATGAGACCCCATCTCAACCAATAGCCGGGCAAATTGGCACACACCTGTCATCATACTTATGTAGGAATTGTAAATGGAGGATGGAGGTCTAGGCTGTCTCCAGGGAAACACAGAAGATGTAATTGAAGAAAATAACAAAGGCAAACATGGTTGGGAATGTAGCTCAAGAGTGGTAAGAGTACCTATCTAGGTAAGCTGTACACCTTCCTCCATCTTTTTGTCTTATTGGTGTGTGTAGGTGTGGGTGTGTGTGCTCATGCACATGTGTATACTAGTAATAGAGCTTGAACTCCATGCCTAGGCTCTGTCCCTGAGTTCTTTTTTTTTTTTTGTCGGTTGCTTGAACTCTGGGCCTGAGCGCTGTCCCTCAGCTCTTCAGCTCAAGGCAAGTGCTCTACCACCTGAGCCACAGCGCCACTTCCAGTTTTCTAGTGATTTATCGGAGATAAGAGTCTCATGGACTTTCCTGCCTGGGCTGGCTTTGAACCGTGATCCTCAGATCTCAGCCTCCTGAGTTAGCTAGGATTACAGGCGTGAGCCACCGGCACCCGGCTGTCCCTGAGTTCTTTTGCTCAAGGCTAGCACTTGAACGATAGCTACACTTCCAGCTTTTTGTGATTAATTGCAGATAAAATTCTCATGGATTTTTTTTCCTGCCCTGGCTGACTTTGAAGTGTGATCTTCAGATCCCAACCTCCTGATTAGCTATGAATATACGCATGAACCACTAGCTCCCAGTCTGATTTTGATTTTGAGATGGAGTTGCCTACTAACTTTGCTAAGGATGGCTTCCAACTTGTGACCCTTCTGTCTCTCCACCTCTCAAAGAGTTGGGATTATATGTATGTACCTCCAAGCCCAGCAGAGTCTAAGCATTGTATTCTGTAGCTTGCATCAATTTGATGTAGGTATAGAGCACCTCCTGCTGACATCATAGAGCAGAGGCAGCCAGACAGCTCTGTCTTCCTAATAGAAAACAAACCCTTAAAAAATCAGTCTCAGGGGCTGGGAATGTAGCTTAGTGGTAGAGTGCTTGCTTAGCATGCCTGAAGCCCTGGGTTCAATTCCTCAGTACCACATCCACAGAAAAAACCAGAAGTGGCGCTGTGGCTCAAGAGATACAGTGCCGGCCTTGAGCAAAAAGAAGCCCAGGACTGTCCAAAAAAACAAAAACAAAAAATTACTTTCATCTGGGCTGGGAAGGTGGCTCAGTGGTAGAGTGCTCGCCTTGTATGCTTAAGGCCCTGGGTTCAATTCCTCAGCACCACATAAGCAGGAAAAAAAAAGCCAGAAGTGGCACTGTGACTCAAGTGGTAGAGTGCTAGCCTTGAGCTGAAGAGCTGAGGGACAGTGCCCAGGCCGAGTTCAGGCCCCACGACCGGACCTCCCCCCCCAAAAATTGGTCTCAGATCTATGGAAACATGGAGATCTAAGACCCAATTTATTAGAGTGACTGGACAGTGTGTATTAAATTTTACCAGGATCATCATAAGGGTCGTAGGACCAAGAACAGGGGTACCAGGAGCTGAAGGAAGAATTTAGAGGGCTTTCGTTTTCTTTTTGGTGCTGGTAGTAGGGCTTGAACTCAGGACCTAGATGCTTTCTCCTAGCTTTTTTGCTCAAGGCTGGCACTCTGCCACTTGAGCCACAGCTCTGCTTCTGGCTTTTTTGTTGTTGTTGGAAATAAGAGTTTCCTGGATTTGTCTGCCCAGACTGGCTTTGGAATAGGATCCTCAGATCTCAGCCTCCTGAGTAGCTAGGATCACAGATGTGAGCCACCAGAAGGATAGTGTTTTACATAGATTTGTTTTATTGACTCAAGCATAGTCTCTTTCTGGTGCTTTTTGTTGTTGGTGGTCGTGGGGCCTGAACTCTGGGCCTGGGCACTATCCCTGAGCTCTTCAGCTCAAGAGGAGTGCTCTACCACTTGAGCCACAACACCACTTCTGATTTTCTGGTGGTTTACTGGAGATAAGAGTCTCACAGACTTTCCTTCCCCAGGCTGGCTTTGAACCGGGTTCCTCAGATCTCAGCCTCCTGAGTAGCTAGGATTACAGGCATGAACCACCAGTGCCTGTCTTTCTGGTGGCTCTGGCCAATAGTAAGAAGGTATGTGTGGGAACTGGGATGAACAGGCACAAAATCCTTGGCTGCAGATTGTGTCACAGTTACACAGGACTGGTGTTCAGCCTTTGGGCTGGGACACCTTTGCAAAAATCATGCTAACTGAAGAGGAGGGTGGAGAGGGCATCCCTTTGGTTGCTAGTGAGAAAATGGAAAAATAGAAGAGCAGCAGCACTGCTTGGCTCCTTGAATGTCCAAGTGTGGTTTCAAGCACATCTGGGAACCCAGCCTGATAGTGCATGCCTATCTGGGGTTAAAGAGGATTCTAGAAGGCCAGGAAAGAGGATCTTAAATTCTAGGTCAGCTTAGGCTATATAATGAGGCTCTGTCTCAAAATAAGTAAATAAAACACATCTGGATTCATGCTCAGGGGGAATCTCATTCATCTGTCTGTCTTCCCATCAGTTCGGCCTCATTTACAGGCCAAGATAGACACAGACCACTCTGGAGTCTCATCTGCCCCAGAACAGCTTAGTACCTTGTGATCTGTAGGCCTGGGGAGGGAGGGGCACCATGTTGGCTAATGGCTGCTGGGCTCTGATTGGCAGGCCTTGGTCACATGGCTATCTTTAGCCGAGGAGGCCTGGCTAGCTTTACCAGAGAGTCTAGAAAACTTGAGTCAATGGATTGTTTAAGCCTACAGAAGGGGCTGATTCCTGATAAACAGTTGGGCTCTTAAAGCAACCTACACCTGTTCCAAGCCCTGACTTCATCTGCAGCCCCACAAACAGAAAAGCACCCCAGGCAGATGTGGATTTCTGTATCATCCGTACAGTTTTTCTGGAGAGGCATGGCAGGGCCCCTGGGTGTGAAGCGGTTGTGATAGAGAACACTTGTGGAGTTGGTGCCTGTGGCTCACACCTGTAATCCTAGCTACTCCAAGGCTGCCATCTGAGGATCACAGTTCAAAGCCAGCTTGTGATACTCTTTTCCTCCAATTAACCACCAGAAAACTGGAAGTGGAGCTGTGGCTCAAAGCAGTAGAGCACTAGCCTTGAGCAAAAGAGCTCAGGACAGTGCCCAGGCCATGAGTACAAGCCCCACCATGGACAATAACAACAACAAAACAGCTGTGGATGGCTGGGAATGTGGCTTAGTGGTAGAGTGATTACCTAGCATGCATGAAGACCTGGGTTCAATTCCTCAGTACCACATACACAGAAAATGCCAGAAGTGGTGCTGTGGCTCAAGTGGTAGAGTGCTAGCCTTGAGCAAAAGAAGCTCAGGGACAGTGCCCAGACTCTGAGTTCAAGCCCCAGGACTGGCAAAAAACAACAAAACAACAAAAATGGTATAGTAGGAGCCTGCCTTTTAGCCAGCCAGCAGGACCCCGCTCAGTGATAGGGGACATCTAGCAACCAGCCCCCCTTCCCCAAGGCCTCAGGATCCACTCATCACAAGAGTGGTCACTCCTGGTCACTGCAAGGTGTCACCCATGTGGGTGGTGATTGGAGTAAAGAGGAGTCAGCTGTATGTAACTGCAGGGGTGGGAAGACAGAGGAGAAGAACCCTCTCTCGTGGCACTGGGGAGATGCAGGCCAGAGGATCATGAATTCCTCCAGCCCAGCCCAGCCTACATAGTGAGAGAAAAGAAAGTTGGTAGAGAGATGACAGAGGCGGCTGAGGAAGGCACTGGAAAGCAGCCAGAGTCAGCCTGGGGCATGGACCCTCAGGCTCATTGTCACCTTTTTGTGAATCCAAGTGCTAAAAAGACATAGGTAATCCTTCATTTCCCAAGTGAATAACAAGAATTCCCACAAGGCAGGAATGTAAGTAAAGTAATAGGAAAATCCTGTGTGTGTGTGTGTTTGTGTGTGTGTGTGCTCCAGTACTGGGGTTTGAAATCAAGGCCTCATGCTCTCTTGCTTTTTCCATTGAAGGCTAGAATCACACCTCCACTTCTTTTTTTGGGGGGTGGGGGTGGGGGGGAGGTTAATTGTGGAGAAAAGAGTCTCATGGATTTTCTGCCTGGGCTTGATTTCAGCTACTGTGCTCAGAGTTCAGTCTCTTGAGCAACTGGGATCTCAGGCATGAGCTATCAGCAATATGGAAGTTTATGAGACAAGAAATTATGCCGATGCTTGCTGGTGTTTCCTTCTGCGCAGAAGGTAAGTTTTGCCTTCCTGTGGCAAAACGAAACATGTGAACCTGAGCCCATCTCAGCCATCTTGGTTGCTGTCTTCATTGCCACTTTGGCCTCTGGATAAATAGTGAGAATTGAAGTCCTTGCTGAGGAGTCTTTTTCTTTTCTTTCTTTCTTTCTTTTTTTTTTTTTTCTTTTTTGCTTGTCCTGGGGCTTGAACTCAGGGCCTGTGCTCAGGGCTAGCACTCTACCACTTGAACCACAGTGCCACTCCTGGCTTTTTCTGTGTATGTGGTACTGAGGAATGGAACCCAGAGCTTCATGTATGTTAGGCAAGCGCTCTACCACTCAGCCACATTCCCAGCCTTGGTGAGCCTTTTTTTCCTTCTCTTCTCTACATGGTTGTGGTACCAAAGCTTGAGCACTCTGTCCTTATTTCCTCATTCTTCGGTCGCCCCCCTGCCTCCAGTTCATTGTCTGGAAGGTTTTATCAGCTGATCCTGCACCTCTAAATTGTGTAGATTGTTAATCCCTGATCGGATGTTTTTCAGCTAATTTATCATCATGGTGTCTAACCCCCACTCCGAGCACACACACATACTCACACTCACACTCACGCTCACCACAGCTCCTCTGTAAGTAGAGCCCATATTCACCCCCCACTGTAGGAATGAAAAATTGAGTCCCAGAGAGGTGGAGTGACTTTGTCCAGCGACATAAGTAGCAGAGCTGGGCTTGAACCCATGTGCTATGTTTCTAATCCTGGTGCCTGCTGCCGGCCGTCTTTCTGACCCTGGTGGGAGAGGTGTGGGGTAGGTTGGGCCAAATGCATAGGAATTATTTGGAGGCTGCTTTTGGCAGTACTGGGGTTTGAACTCGAGGCTTTGTGCTTGCTAGGCAGGCGATCTATCACCTGAGCCACGGGGTCCAGCCCTTTCTGTTATAGTTTCGTTTTCAGATGGGGTCTCCCATTTTTGCTCCATCCTCCTACTTCAGACTTTGGGGTAGAGTAGCTGGGATTACAAGCATGTGTCACTGAGCCTGGCCTAAGGCATCCTGTTTTGTGATTCCTTTTGGTGGCCAGGCAGCCGGGAATTAGAGGCTGTCTGCCAGAAGGTTTGAGGCACAGCTGAGTGCCGTTCTTCTAAGGGCTCCAGGGTCCTCTTGGGATCAAGCCTTCTGCCTTCAGACCCTGAGGTGCCCCTGTATAAGACTGGGCTATGTGGGCTCAGGTGAGCCCTGGGCTGCTGGCCCAATCAGCCCTGCCTGAGGGACCCTGCGAATATCCCAGGGGCTTAGCAGTGTGAGCCTGAGCAGAAGAGGGGTGCTGGCTCGGTGGTCAAGGGGTAATCATGGCTTAGAGAAAATGGAGAGGTCAGAGGAGAAATGCTGGCAGCAGAGGCCAACCGAAGAGAAGTGCAGAGAAAAACAGATAGCTGCGCCTCCCTCCCCATCCCCCAGCAACAAGCAGAAACACATCCCCAGGTTGACCTCCTTCTTGGCCAGTCTCCCCTCAGCTCTGCCCACCTTCCCTCCTGCTGCTGGTCAAGCCCATTAAGCTGCCACCCTGGCCACAACTGAAGGCTCCACGCCCCAGGGAGGAAACCACTGATGAGGCGTCCTTGCTCCCTGGCACCCCAAACCGTCAATTAATATTAACAAGGGCGGCTCCTAAAGACCCCCAACGGGGCTCTGAGGGCGCAGGCCCCGCCTCATGACTCAGGAGGTTAAAGGGCCCGGGGCCCTCCGGAGCCCGAGTGTCCGATGGCAGGCAGCGGCAGGCGGGTCACCATCCAGCTGGTGGATGACGGCTCCAGCGCTGGGGCCGGGGGCCCACAGCTCTTTCGGGGCCAGAACTACCAGGCTATCCGAGCAGCCTGTCTGGAATCGGGGATCCTCTTCCGCGACCCCTGTTTCCCTGCCGGCCCAGATGCCCTTGGCTATGACACCCTGGGGCCAGACTCGGAGAAGGCCAAAGGGGTGGAGTGGAAGAGACCCCATGTAAAGTGGGGCTGGGCCGGAGGGAGGAGGCTGGGTCTAATGGAGGAAGGCTGGGTACTGTACTCCTTAGGCCGAGAGAGGAGACTGGTTCTGAGGGAGAGAAAGGACTGGGGCCTGGGCCCCTGAGTCTGAGGGAGGAGGGCTGGGGCCTGGGCTTCTGGGTCTGAGGGAGGAGGGCTGGGGCCTGGGCTTCTGGGTCTGAGGGAGGAGGCAGGGCCTGACCTACAGACAGTAGTCTGGACTAGACTGCAGGAGCTCCACAGGTTTCGGGGGTTGGAGGCCCCATTCGCTGATGTGGTAGCACTGGGGGGCACCTGAGTTCCTAGTTGCTCTTGCCGTTTGTTTGCTTTGTCCATTGTGGGGCTTGAACTCAGGACCTGGGGTGAGCTTTTCTGCTCCAGGCTAGTGTTCTACCACTGTTAGCCAGGGTGCCACTTCCAGTTTTCTGGTGGTTCATTGAAGAGAACAGTTTCACAGACTTTCCTGTCTGGGCTGGCTTTGAACCGCGATCCTCAGATCTCCTGAGTGCCTAGGTGTGATCTGAGGTGCCCGGCTTGCCTTGGCTTTTCTGACTGGACCCCTTCCTGCCCAGGAGTTTTGTGAGAAGCCTCAGTTCATCTGTGAAGACATGAGCAGGACAGATGTGTGCCAGGGGAGACTAGGTGAGAAGCCCGGGGCGGTCTGAGCCCCCAAATATCCATGTGGGGATGGTAGCCCTGATGGAAGTCCTGGCTCTCCTTCCCTCCCCCCATTCTTCCTCTCCCTCCCCCTGTGTGCCTCCGCCCCCCCCTCACTGAGCCTGTCTTCCAGGAAATTGCTGGTTTCTGGCTGCCGCTGCCTCACTCACACTGTACCCCCGACTCCTGTACCGGGTGGTCCCCCCAGGACAGAGCTTCCAAGATGGCTACGCAGGCGTCTTCCACTTCCGGGTAGAGTTTAATTTGTCTCTCTGTACCTCAGTTTCCCCTCTGGTGGCAGGGTGCCATAGATTTCGTAATGGACACTGTCCCCTTGTGGTACTCATTCTAGAACTCAAGGACTGGGTAAGCAGGGTTGAGGTCAGAAGTCGGGCTCCAGGGTGGGCTGGGGTGGCAGCCAAGCCTCTCTCCCGCCAGCTCTGGCAGTTTGGCCGCTGGGTGGATGTTGTGGTGGATGACAAGCTGCCGGTCCAGGAGGGCAAGCTGATGTTCGTGCACTCGGAGCAGAGGAACGAGTTCTGGGCACCCCTCCTGGAGAAAGCCTACGCCAAGTGAGGACCCCTGACTTCTGAGTTCTTCCAGGCACCTCACCAAGGACCCTCAAGCTGAGTCACCACCCCACGAGCCCTAAAACCACAGTGCACCCTGCAAACCCTCCAGACTGTCCACACGCCCCTGTGGCGCCTTCCCACAACCCTACCAATTACCCATAATTATTCCCAAGGATCCCCCCAAAGCCCACATACCCGTCACCGAGGTCGAAGCTTTCTCTCCTGGGAAACCTGTAAGCTCAGCATCTCTCCTGACCCACTGACATGTCCATAGCCACCCTAAAATCCTAGTATCCCTGGGACCCCCAATCTGTCCTTCCCCATCATGGGGCTCTGGAATGCCTGACAAGCTCCCTAGAAGTCACCTCTACAGCAAGCTCCCCAAGAGCTCCCCAAGTTCCCCCAAAATGTGCAGTCCTGGAGGCTCCAGGCACCACAGGTCCAGATTCCGGGGCCTTCTAGCACCCCTCTCTCAACCACCCCCTCCTTGATTGTGTCCTTTGCAGGGATAGAGGCGCCCAGCTCCCCCACGCCTCGCTCCCCCACGCCTCACACCCCTCCCCCATATCCCCACAGGCTCCACGGCTCCTACGAGACCATGCGAGGCGGCCACATGAACGAGGCCTTTGTGGACTTCACGGGGGGCGTGGGCGAGGTGCTCTACCTGAGGCAAAACACGCCGGGCCTCTTCCCCGCCCTTCGCCACGCACTGGCCAAGGAGTCCCTCGTGGGCGCCACTGCCCTGGTGAGAGCCGGACCCCACTGTGACCGGCCACAGTCAGCGTGGGGTGGGAGCTTCCCGTGTCCTTCCACCAGCGTCTCCTGCTGCCTGCTGCCCTCTCACAAATCAAATTAGTAAGCTAGAAGGAATTTATTTGTTTTTAAGACAAGCTTCAGACCCAGCTGGATCCAGGTGTTGCAAAAGTGTTTATGCTAGTCTAGTTCTGGATGAGCCTCACTCCGGGGCAAGCTCTCCCCTTCACGGATACAAGGGGCTCCCACAGCTGCAGGGCTGTTCCACCACCCAAGGGACAAAAGATCATAGGTAGGCGCTGGGGGTCACGTCTGTAATACTAGCTGCTCAGAGGCTGAGATATAGGGATCACAATTTGAAGCCAGAAGTCTTTTTCTTTTTTTTTTTTCTCTTCAGTCATGGGGCTTGAATTCTGGGTCTGGGCGCTGTCCCTCAGCTCTTCAGCTCAAGGCGAGCGCTCTACCACTTGAGCCACAGCGTCAGAGTTTTCTGGTGGTTAATTAGAAATAAGAATCTTATGGACTTTTCTGCCCAGGCTGGCTTTGAACCTTGATCCTCAGATCTCAGCCTCTTGCGTAGCTAGGATTACAAGCGTAAGCCACTGATGCCCTGGTCAATAAGAGTCTTTTAAGGTATTTCTGCTCTGTCAGCTAGGAAAAAAGAAAAGCTAGATTTGAGATATGATTTAATTGGTAGAGCATAAACTGTAGGCAGAGAAAGCTGAATGAGAGCATGAGGCTGAGTTCAAGTAAAAAAAAGCACCCGTTTTGGGATTTTCAGTCAGTGCCCCACTGATTCCCATGGGCTTTGCCTGCCTGTGACCTTGTCATAAAATCAATGACTCACTCATTAAGTTGGTCTTTAACTCATCCACTTATCTACCTGCTTACTTAATTAAAAAAAATCTCTCATGGCTCATGCCTATAATCCTAGCTACTCAGGAGGCTGAGATCTGAGGATCGCAGTTCAAAGCCAGCTCTAGCAGGAAAGTCTGTGAGACTCTTACCTCCAATAAACCACTCAGAAAACTGGAAGTGTCGCTGTAGCTCAAGTGGTAGAGCACTAGACTTGAACTGAAGAGCTGAATGACAGCACCCAGGTCCAGAGTTCAAGCCCGACAACTGACCAAAAAAAAAAAAATCTCTCTGCCTGTCCTTTTAATCTGTATCTTTATCTCTATGACTCTATTCTTTTTTCTTTTTCTTTTTTTCTACCAGTCCTGGGGCTTGAACTCAAAGCCTAGGCACCTTCCCTTAGCCTCTTTTGCTCAAGGCTAGTACTTTACCACAGCACCACTTCTGGCTTTTTCTGCTTATGTGGTATTGAGGTATTGAACTGAGGGCTTCATGCATGCTAGGCAAGTACTCTACCACTAAGCCACTTTCCCAACCTGACTCTATTCTTTTTAAATCTTCTTCTGATGGTACTGGACATTGAATTCAGTGTCTTGAGATTCTGGGCAGGAGCTCTACGACTAGAACCACACCTCTCTAGTCCTTTTGCTTTAGGTTATTTTTTCAGATAGTTTTGTTGTTGTTGTTATTGTTGTGAGACTGGGACTTGGACTCAGTACCTTAGGATTTGCTCATTAACTGATGCTCTACCAACTGAGTCATGCCTCCAACCCCCCTAGATGGGTTGTGTGCATCTGTCTGTCCATCCTGGGGTTTGAACTCAGAGCCTGGGCATTTTTCCTGAGCTTTTGTGTTTTAGGTTACAGGGAAAACTGTTGTGCATAGATATAGCCACCAGGGGGCACTGTCATTGTACAAATGCCCACTGTGTGCACAGCACACATTAGATCACAGAGAGGCCTGGTGAGAAGCTAGGCAGAAAATAGTCATGGATCATTTCATAGGATGATAAATTTGCCAGAAAGCTGGATGCTAGAGACTCAGGCCTATAATCCTAGCTACTCAGGGGGCTGAGATCTGAGGATCACAGCTGGAAGCCAGCCTGGGAAGGAAAGTCTGTGAGACTCTTATCTCCAATAAACTACTCAGGAAAAGCCAGTGTCGTTGTTGCTCAAGTAGTAGAGCATTAGCCTTGAGTACAAAGAGGCTCAGGGGTAGTAGTGTTCAGGCCCTGAGTTCAAGCCCCAAGATTGGCAAAAGTAAAATTACAGTCTCCAGAAAGAAAACTAAGTGACAGGATAGCATGAGGGGCCTTCTTGGATTAGGTGCCCCACCCCTGTCTGACGGGCATCTGAATGACAGGATGAGGAGGCCCCAGCCCTCCGTGCAGAGAAAATGAGGGGCCTGGGACAGAGTGTGTGGGGGTGGGGGTGGGGAGAAGGTGCTGCTTTTATTCCGAGGGCCAAGCGAAGACTATGCCACGCATGACAGGAAAGCTGGAAGGGCTGTGTGTGTGTGTGTGTGAGAGAGAGCTGTGAACCAAACAAACACGGATTCACAGTTTTTCTTTGTGTCCATCCTGGTGCTTGAACTTAGGGCGTGAGCACTGTCCCTTAGCTTTTTCACTCAGAATGGTCCTCTACCACTTGAGCCACAGTTCTATTTCAGGTTTTTTTGCTGGTTCCTTGGAGATGAGAATCTCACAGACTTTCTTGCCTGCCTGTGCTTGATGATTGACTCCTGCTTCAGTGGCCCAAGGTTGGGGGGCTGGGAAGAGTGGCTGCTGTCTACCGCGTCTCACCCTGCTGTCTCTACCCAGAGTGATCGGGGCGAGATCCGCACGGAAGAGGGGCTGGTAAAGGGACACGCATACTCAGTCACAGGCACACACAAGGTGAGCTCCCTGGGAGGACCCCGTGTGTGCGTGTGTGTGTGTGTGTGTGTGTGTGCGTGTGCGTGTGTGTGTGTGCGTGTGTGTGAGTCTCCAGGTGCCCCCTGCTGACCGCCCTACCTCCACTGCTCCCCCCCCCCCCCAACCATGCTGTCTTCAGGTGTCTCTGGGCTTCACCAAAGTGAGGCTCCTGCGGCTGCGGAATCCTTGGGGCCGTGTGGAGTGGACTGGGGCCTGGAGTGACAGGTGAGCTGGGCCCCTGGGGGGTGGGGGCTGGGGGCTGGGTCCCCCCCTGCCTGGCCCTCACGTCCATCTCCCCAGCTGCCCACGCTGGGACGCCATCCCCACCGAGTGGCGAGATGCCCTGATGGTGAAGAAGGAGGATGGTGAGTTCTGGTGAGTTCCCAGGGGCCCATCCGCCTCCGGGGGCGCAGCAAGGCCAGGATGCCTGGAGAAGAGGGTTGCTGGCAAAAATTTGTGGGGTGAAGCGTATTGGGGAGAAGCTATACCAGCTGTAACTTGTAACTTGCAGGTCAGTTCCCTCCCTCCCTCCCTCCGTTCTTGTCTTTCATGTGTGTGTGTGTGTGTGCAGTACTAGGCTTGAGCTCAGGGCTTGGACATTGGGGAGTGGGGTTCTGTGGCTTTTCACAGCTGTGGGGCCTAGAACCCATTTGGGGACCCAGAGGCTGGGGGATCTGGGTTGAGGGGCACGTGGGCTGACTGTCCCTTGCAGGATGGAGCTGCAGGACTTCCTGAGTCACTTCAACACGGTGCAGATCTGCTCGCTGAGCCCGGAGGTGCTGGGGCCCAGTCCAGCGGGGGGTGGCTGGCACATCCACACTTTCCAGGGCCGCTGGGTGCGTGGCTTCAACTCTGGCGGGAGCCAGCCTGGTGCTGGTGAGCCCTGGGGGCCCCTGAGGGGTGAGGGGTGAGGTGGGCTGCGGGCTACCATGGGCTGTGGACCCCATGTCCTTCTCCTCCATCAGAAACCTTCTGGACCAATCCTCAGTTCCGGCTGACGCTGCTGGAGCCGGATGAGGAGGAAGATGATGACGATGAGGAGGGGCCCTGGGGAGGCTGGGGGGCAGCAGGGGCACGGGGCCCAGCCAGGGGGGGCCGCATGCCCAAGTGCACCGTCCTCCTGTCACTCATCCAGCGCAACCGGCGGCGTCTGCGGGCCAAGGGTCTCACTTACCTCACTGTGGGATTCCACGTGTTCCAGGTAGAGCCTGGGGTTCGGGTCAGAGAGCAGAGGAGGCAGGGGGACGGGAGGTCAAGGTCAGCTGAAGGGCACGAGAGATGGGGACAGATAAAAGGCTGGGTGGAGAGGTGACCAAACAGGCGGCAAAGGGACTGAGGGCACAGATGGGGAGGAGAAGGCCGGTCAGAGGGTCCTAGGCCAGCCACTGGGGGCAGGGGGGTGGGGGGGGGACGGGACGGGACAGGGGACGGTGATGGTCAGGAAGACCGTTAGACACTGACTCACCCTGGCATCCTAGCTACTCAAGAGGCTGAGACCTGAGGATGGCGGTTCGAAGCCAGCCCGAGCACTAAAGTCCCTGAGACTCTCATCTCCAATAAACCACCAGGAAACTGCAAGTGGCGCTGTGGTAGAGCGCTAGCTAGTCTTGAGCCAAAGAGCTCAGCGATAGAGCCCAGGCCCTGAGTTCAAGCCCCAGGACCCGTACCAAAGAAAAGAAACGGAGACGCTTATTGCTGAGGGAGAGCAGGGGCTCTGAGCGGCGGCACCTGCCCGCCCCTGACGCGCCCTGCCTCTTCTGTCTTGCAGATTCCAGAGGAGGTGGGTATCAGACGGGGCCCAGGCCGGGCTCGGCCCCGGGCGGGGCGCGGTGCCCCTGCCCCGAAGGCGGTGTGGGGGGGCGCGGGGGGCGGCGGGCCGGAGCGGGGCGCCGGGCGCGTGGAGGCCATGCCGCTGCCGCCGCCCGCCCGCAGCTGCTGGGCGCCTGGGACTCGCCGCGCAGCCGCGCGCTCCTGCCCACCCTGCTGCGCGCCGACCGCTCGGTGTTCTGCGCCCGCCGCGACGTGAGCCGCCGCTGCCGCCTGCCGCCCGGACACTACTTGGTGGTGCCCAGCGCCGCCCGCGCCGGCGAGGAGGCCGACTTCACGCTGCGCATCTTCTCCGAGCGTGGCCACACGGCGGTGTGAGCCCGGGACCCCGGACGGGGTGGGGGGTGTGTGTGCGTGCAAGTGTGCAAGAGCCCACCTCCACCTCGCCCCAGACCCCACCTCCGGTCACCCCCACCCCCGGCTCTACACTCCACAGGGTAGCCTTAGCCCCTGGCGCCGCCCGATCTGGGCCCCGCCCCCAGGGCCCCTCGGCTCCTGGCCGACGCCGGCTCCAAGTCTGGTCTGTATTTGCAGGGAGATCGATGACGTCATCAGCGCGGACCTGGAGGCCCTGACGGTGCGGGGCTGCTCTGGGAGGGGGCAGCAAGCGGGTGCACCGGCCCGGAGGTCAGGGCCAGATAGGGCTTTGGGTCAGGACTCAACTTTCCTCACTTGCGCAGGTCCCCTATGAGCCCCTGGAGCTGGAGCTGGTGCAGCTGTTTCTGGAGTTGGCTGGAGGGGTGAGAAAAGAATGCTGTGTGTGTGTGTCTGTGTGTGTCTGTCCTGACCCCAGAGCCCAGCCCTCTTGGTTGGTGCTCCCTTCCTCAGCCTCCATGCTTACACGCCCTTAGTTGCTTTTCTTGGACTGCAGCTGTTCCCTGCCTCGGTGCTGTTCCCTGCCTTGGTGCCCCTTTCTTCCTTTCCAGGCTGTTTCCAAAGTGGCTTTATCTGGAAGCTGCCATCCATGGGCTCCTGCAGCCCGCACCTCCCCCATTAACTGCCCTGACCCAAGTGAACCCTGAGAGCCAGGTCCCCAGCTCTGGCCTGCACAGGGTCTCACCAGCTGCTCTCTCTTCCAGGAGGAGGAATTGGATGCTTATCAGCTGCACACCTTACTAAGCATTGCCCTTGAGCCTGGTGAGTCGGGTGGGCGCTGATGGCCATGGAGCCTGGGCTCAGTGGCATCTCCCTGCATGTGGCCTGTGGTGGGCTTTCTCAGCAGCCTTTGTTCTGGGAGGCAGGGTGGATAGCTGTTGTGGGCACAGGCTTGGGAAACTCCTCCCTCCAGGTTGGCTTGATCCCAGCTCGATGCCTATTAAAGGCCCCCCCAGTGAGTCTGGCCTGCAAAGTTCTTCCAGTGGTGTGCAGCCTCCAAGGAGCAAGTGCTGGGTGTTTTCATGTGTTGTATGCATGCATGGTGCATATGCACACAAGCCTGTGTGCTCACGTGTACGTCATGACTGGGGCTTGAACTCAGGACCTGGTTCTTAGCTTTTACTATCACTACCATTTGAGCCATGTTTCACCTCTGGCTTTTTGGTGATTAATTGGAGACCAAACTCTCACTGTCCTGCCCAGGCTAGCTTTGAACTGTGATCCTCAGATCTCAGCCTCCTGAGCAGCTAGGATGACAAGTGTGAGCCAGTGCTGGGCTTGGGTGTTTTCTTGTAGGCAGGGCCAACACGAGGACCCAGGGAGAGATCGGGCTGAGGACCTGTGAGCAGCTGCTGCAGTGTTTTGGGGTACGTGGAGGCAGTGCTGGAAAGGAGGAATAAGGATGTGGGGTCTCCTCTTCCGTGAGCCTCGTTCCTAACCAGATGTCCCTGTGCACAGCGCGGCGGCCACCTGTCTCTGCACCACTTCCAGGAGCTCTGGGGCCACCTCCTGTTGTGGCAGGTAAGGAGGGGTGACTCGCCTGAACTGTTTTCTGGACCAAGACCCCCTTTAGGTCATCAGGCCCCTCAAGAATTGATCCCACAGCCTCTGGGTCTGGGTGGAGGACCTGAAGCATATCACCTCCCTCCGAGGGGATCTTTTTCCTTGGCTACAAAGGATACTTAGAACCATGGAAGGAGGAAACAAAGGAAAGTTCTAGAAACAGCAGTAAGCGGCCACATTGAGGCTTTATGTGGTGGTCAGATGGCCATTTGGCCAGGGAAGAGCAAGCAGAGGTGCTGTGGCCCATAATCCCCACTTGGAGGAAGGGGAGCTGGCCCTGAGGTTCCCACTCAGGGTAGCGAGCACCCCTGCAGGGCCAAGGGGCTGACCCTTGTCTCCCCACACAGGGCACATTTGACAAGTTCGATGAGGACGCATCAGGAACCATGAACTCCTATGAGCTGAGGCTGGCGCTGAACGCTGCAGGTGTGCCCGGCGGCCAGGAGGATGGAGAGAGGGTGAAGGGGCGCAGAGGACTGGGAAGGGGAGGGAGGGAGGGGCTCCAGGAAGGAGCATTGGGAGCTGCTGCCTTGAGGCTCAGGCTTATTCAGTAGAACGTTCTGGATTCTGGTGAGTGTTGGTGGAATCCTCAGGCGCCTTTCCTCCGGGTGCTGCGTCCCAGCCTTGAGTTTGAGGGGCGCAGGGCTTGGGGCTTTTGGGAGTCCATGGACACGATGGCAGAGGTGAGCTGCTGCTGCAACATGGGGTGGCGGCAGCGACGTGTCCAGGCGGAGCCGTGGGGAGGGAGAGTCCGGCAGCTTTGGAGACAGGGTTGCTGGCACTCAACAGGATGGCCCCCAACCAGCAGGAGGGAACAGGTGCAGACCGTGTTCAAGGGCCCCTACACAGATGGGGGGGGTACCTTGCTGGCGTGGGGCTCACAGGGCGGTGGCCCCCAGGCTTCCACTTGAACAACCAGCTGACCCAGGCCCTCACCAGCCGCTACCGGGACAGCCGCCTGCGGGTGGACTTGGAGCGCTTCGTGTCCTGCGCGGCCCAGCTCACGTGCATCTTCCGTGAGTGCCCATCCCGATGTGGAGGGGTGCAGGGGGGGCACCCTCGGCTGAGGGCCAGCAGCTACCCTGCTCCTCTCTGCACAGGACACTGCAGCCAGCACCTAGCTGGGGGCGAAGGGGTCGTGTGCCTGACCCACAGACAGGTGAGCTGGGCGGTGGGCTGGGTGGCTGGGGCGGGCGCTGGCCGGAGCTCACGCCCCACTTTCTCCCCAGTGGTCGGAGGTGGCCTCCTTCTCCTAAGGGCGCCCTCAACCCAGCACTGCAGCTGAGCACGCATGCACCTGCCCATCACCTATCGTCTAGGGCCACCTCCACATCATCCTGCGCCCCCCCACCTCCTGTTGCCACCTACGTGAGAGCCCCCACTCTGCTGAGACCACACCCTTGAGGGGCGCAGGGACCTGGGCCTTGCATGGACGTCACAGAAAGAGGACGCTAGGAATCCACCTTAAAAATATTACATGTTTTATTATCCTGTCCCCAGAAGAGTGGTTTATCCAGAAACCAAGAAAATCAGAATAAACTCAAGAGGGGAGAGGAGGGCAAAACCATCAACTAGCAGGCAGCCAGGCCAGCAGCCCCCTCCACCCCGGAGGTCCCCCCAGACCCTGCCCAGCACAGACACTGAGGAAGATGAGTGCGGGCGGGCAGCCAATCAGCTATGTCTTCATTAGAGAGCAAGAGAGGCGAAGATACGTTGCTAGGTGAATATATATTTATATAATAAATCCGTAAGTTAATAAAGTAAATAGGAATTCTCTGAAGGGTTTTTTTTAATAGGTTTTTTTTTCTTCATTTTTTTTTTTTTTGTATGATTTTGTTGGTTTTGGTCCTTAGAAAAAAAAACAATTGAGACCTCGAGTCCAGACAAGTAAGGGGTGATGGCAGGGTCCTGGGCGCCTGGCACTCACCATGGAGTCCCGCCGGGGAAGGGAGAGGGAGCTGGCGGGGTCTGGTTCAGCGGAGCAGCAGCGCCCTCTGCTGGACCTTGCGGGGCGGTTCCTGGACAAGGCACGTGGGGCTTTGGCCTGGGTGTGGGAGGCATGGAGCCTCTGTCCCCTCCACGTAAGATTTAAAAAAATGTACGTATTTACCAGACCAGAGGTGCTGACCCCGGCCTCCGTCCCCCTTCCAGGTGTGGGGGGGAGCCCCTGGCCGACTGCCAGAGAGAGGAGAGAGCCTGCCAGCTCCTCTCTGCCCACTGCCCCCAGGGACCGACAGAGAGGGCTTTGCATAGATACAAGAGTCGGGGTGGGGCAGGGTACCCCCAGCCCCGCCGGGAGGCCGAGGGGCTTTGGTCCGGGAGTCAGGAGCCCTCACAGGTCGCTCTCGCCATAGAGGGCCGTAGAGAAGGACTTGTAGTCCAGGGCGCCGGGCACAGCATCGGGGCCCTGGTAGGGCGCCATGCGGGCGATGCAGTACTCGGCCTGGTCGGGGGGCAGCTCTCTCCGCAGCTCCTCGGCTGTGATGAAGTTCTGGAGTACAGGCAGGACGGAGTCACGACACCCCTGCGCCGACCTGGCCTACCCAGTCCCAATGCCTCGGTGGGCTCTTGCTTACCTTGTCCCCTGCCAGGACCTTGAAGGAGGCGATGACCTGGTCAGCCGTGTCCGTGTCGGTGGTCTCCCGTGACATGAAGTCGATGAAGGCTTGGAAGGTCACGAGGCCGCTGTGGTTGGGGTCCACCACGCTCATGATGCGGTTGAACTCGGCGTCACCCTGCGGGGCGGGGCGGGCAGGCAGATGGGGCTTAGCCGGGCAGTGCCAGTGGCTTGCTCTCGGGAACGCAAGTGGCAGAATAGGGCTGAGTGGTCCGCCTGCCACACCCCCGCCAGTCTCAGGAGATGGGAAGTTGGGGTGCACTGCCCCCAGACTTGAGTCAGCTCTGGTGGGCGGGGGAGAGAGAGAAAAGATGGAGAGGGGGGCACTGCCCCGAGGCTTGCAGGAAGAGGAGTTGGCAAGGCAGGCAGGAGCGTCCCGGGGGAGGACAGGAGGAGGAGGAAGTGGGCCCTGGAGAGTGGAGGAGGAGGAGGTGAGGGGCGGGAGGGAGGCGAGTGGGGCGGAGGCGGAGGCGGGCGGGAGCTGCATACCAGGCTGTATCCTGTGGAGATAAGCAGAGCCCTGAAGTCATCGGAGTCCATGCTGCCTGTCTGCTTCTGCTCCCGGATGGACGCAGCCATAGCAGAGGAGGCAGAGGGGCGCCCCGTGCGCGCAGCGGGGAGACAGGACAGTGCAGAGCAGGGACACGGGAGGCCCCGGGAGAGATGAGGTAAGGGGACAGGTGAGAGACAGGAGGGCAGGGAGGAGGCGAGAGCCGGCGAGATGGGCAGGATGGCCGGGAGGAGAGGAGAGAAAGAAGAGCGGTTAATGCCACGTCCAGGGACCCGTGCGCGTACCTGCCGGTCGTTCTCCACGTCGTAGCCCAGGCTGATGAGGCAGGCCTTGAACTCCTCGGGCCCCAGAGCCCCACCATGGTCCTGCCGGGGCCATCGAAGGCAGGTGTGCGGGGCGATGCCACCAGGCCGTGGAGTGGGGAAGGGGCCGGGCCGCATGCAGAGGGCGGAGGACACGGGGGAGGGAAACACAGAATTAGAGGCGATCACAGACACGGGGTGGTGGCCAGGAGCTGGTGTGGACCCTAGTCCTGCCTGTGTCTGGTACACAGGGTGGAGGCACTGAGGACGGAGGCCTGGGGACTCGGGACGAGGGGCCAGCAGAGCAGGGGTCACAATGTTGTTTAGGGTCTCTATAGCTGCACCCAGACCCTAACACGAGACTACACACACGGCCGGAACAGGGAGGGAGGACAGAGACAACACGGAGGGAGGGCAGGGCAGGAAAGAGGAGGGCGGCTCACCTTGTCGAAGTGGTTGAAGGAGGCCCGGAACTCCTGCATCTGCTCCTGGCTGATGCCCTTGGCGTCGCGGGTGAGGATCTGGTTCTCCACCTCATTGATGGTGCGGGCAATGGTGGTGAGCAGCTGCTCCCAGCCCACACGGATGTGCTGTGGAGGAACAGGCGTGGCCATGGGCTGAGGCTGCCATGGGGTGCCCACAGTGTGTGTAGGGCTACAGCTCCTTGCTATCCTACACCCCTAATCCATGGGATGGACTGCGGCACCCGGCTGCCCCTGCCAACCAGTGTGCATGAGCGGCCAAGATTCATGTAGGCGCTCTGTGCACATGCGCGGCCTGCTCAACAATGGCTCTCTAGGGGGCAGGCCAGGCTGGCGGTCTGTGGCGCAGCTTAGATCCAGCTACCAACAGGACCCGCTGCAGAGTCCCTGGCTCCCACCCCAGGGTGAGAAATGTGGCCCTTCTGGGTCCCCAGAGACACGTAGCCCAAGGTGGGCGTAGTCATGGCGATTGCCCTGCAAGGCTGGGGGTGGCGGGGGGAGTGAGCATTTTACAAATGTGCACATAGTCTAGAATGTTTTCCAGGGTGCCAGGGCGGGGCAGGCTGTGCACCTCCATTGTGTAGTTGGTGTGCTTGTTGTCGAAGATGAGGGCCTCCTGGATGAGCTGGTGCTGCTGCTCGAGCAGGTCTAGGTTGGGCTTGTAGTCCACGATGCTGCGCTCGTACTGCTTCAGGTGGCTCAGCTGGTCCTCCAGCGTCCCGTTCATCTCGATGGAGATGCGGCCAATCTCCTGTGGGGAGGGGAGGCACACATGGGCTGGGGAGGGGCGGCCCCGTGGGGTGCTGACGTGCAAGGCCTGTGCCGTCACTGAGCCCCGCCAACCTGAGCAAGAGCAGCCGTAGTGGGGCCGTGTCCGGAGTGGACAGACAGACGAGGAGATGGAGGCCTATGAGGCCTGGCGCACAGAGCGCTCTCCAGCACCTGCTGTAAACCCTCCCACGGCAGCCGTGACAGTCCCGGCACAGCACCCTGGAGGACCATTTGAGTCCACCAAGCCCCCAGCAGCTTTCTGCCTGGCACAGCCAATCTCACGCACACCAGTCTGCTGGGCCCTCACCTCCATCTTGGTCTGGATCCAGGGCCCCACCACGTTGGCCTGGCTGGCAAACTGGCGGCGCAGGTGCTCGTTGGACTGCTGCTTACTCTGCTCTTCCAGGAGCGCGTGGTCCCGCTTGGGCACCAGCTGCTGCACCTGGGAGACACCAGCAGGGGGCGTGAAGATGGGCCCCTTCCCCACACGGCTGGGCCCAGCGTTGCCTCGGGTGGGGGTGGGGGCCCGACTCACCTTTTCCCACTTGGAGTTGATGATCTGGGGGGTGACGGTGGTGTAGGGGTTGCTGCCTGACAGCTTGATGTGGTTGCTCTCAGCGATCCTCTGCGCCTCCTTGTGGATGGCAAGGATGGCTTCCCGCTCGCGGTCAGCATCCGGCAGGGTGGATTTGAACTGGTCATGGGCCGAAATGAGGCCCTGGTGGGGAAGAAGAGCGGGCATGAAGGGGCGGTCTGGCTCCCCAGGGATCTGGCGTGGGGCAGGGGGGAAGGGGGGCAGACCTCGATCTCCTCAATGGTGTGGACAATGAACATGTCCTGCAGGTCCTCCATGGCGCTCTCCATCCAGTTGTTGAAGGGGGCGGCCCGCTTGGCATACTCCAGGTGCAGCTGGTCAATGGTCTCTAACTGCTTCTCTGTTTTCTGAGAAGGCGGGAAGGCAGATCAGCTTGCCAGTGGGGAGAGGCCAAGGTGCTGAGGAGTTACCCAGCCCCTGGGAGAAGCTCCTGGGTCTGGGCGTCGCCCTGCCCCTCCCCCCTCACCTCCAACGCTTCTCTGCGACTGTGGGTGAGGGAGCCCAGGGCGTCCCACTGGTCGCAGATCTTCTGGCAGCGGGCATTGACGTTGTGGGAGTCATAGTAATCCAGCTCGCTGCAGGACAGATGGACAGCAGTGAGCCCTGGTGGCACCCAACACCCTGGGGGGGGGGGGGTCCCAGGCTTGGTAGCACCCAGCCTAAAGGGGACGTTTGTGGCAGGTCTACTCAAGACTCAGAGCAGAAGGCCTAGCGGGGGCAGCACGTGCCCAGGCCTGCAGCCCAGGGTGCTACTCTAGGATCCTCCTCTTTTTTTTAATTCTGAGACCAGGATGCTATGCCTGCACTACTTTACTACTATATTGGAAATAACAGTAAATGAGGCTTGGGCCCTCCTGCCCATGAGGGTGTCTCTTCTGGAAGCCTGGTGCAGCAGGCTCTGAGCCTTGCAGGTTTGGGAGGGAGTGGCTGCAGGGCGGAGAGGGCGAGCAGCCAGACCAGTGGATGGGACAGGGCAGAGGAGCGGAGCAGGCAGGGACTGGGAGGAAAATGCTTTCACACCCAGCTTCTACTCTAACTGGGTCATCTTTCACCAGGCCTGTGGTCTCTCCATGCCTCAGTTTCCCCATGTGACACAGGTTGTTGTGGGGATTAAATGAGCCCAGCAGGCTCATCCCAGAGGTGCATGTGACACCTCAACAACCTTCCTTCCAGGCAAGCGCCCAGAGCCGGCTTTAGCTTCACGTGAGTGGGTTTCATGTGGCTGGCTGGCCCAAATTCCAGGGGCTCCCCTAGGTGTGTGTGTGTGGGGGGCATCCTGCCAGTCTCATATCCTTGTAGTCTTGGGCACCTGTACCATGCTCTCCTGTGCAGCCCCCCACCCCCAGCAAGTGTCCCATGGAGTCTATAGTGGGATCTAGTGCACCCAGTCCTAATGCCCACAGCCTGGGGGGGGGGGGGCATCTGCAGACGGAAGCTGGCCCTGCCCTTGCCTTGCAGAGGGCAGAACACTGGGCATGTCTGTGGAA